AGGCTGGGGACGGACTGACCCAAACCCTGGCAGTGATGATCTAGTAGAGTGCACAGGAAGTCCACATAAATGGACGTGGTCGTCCCCAGTCCGCTCGCTACATCAGCGCCATCGCTAAGCCTCTCTCGGATAACCGTGCAGATGATCCAGCAGATAACTGGGATGGAGCAGGCAGTAAGGAGAGTTTTGTTTGCTCTCACATACTTATCCTTTCATGAAGAGTATGTCGTCCTGGAAGAACTTTTTGAAGTATTCCTCCACCGCCTTCTCAGAGAAGCCAACAATCTCACTGAAACTGTGAGGTTCCTTAAGCACGTTCTTCAGGGTGTCGATAGCTGTAGATCTGGTGGTGACCAGAAGGCATGACTCTCGCAGGATGTGTCACCTTAACAGGGCGCAAAGAGTGACCTCAGGCGGATCCGTGGGTGGCGACATCCGATAAATGTCTTCTGTGATTTTAAGTTCATCGAATCCATCGACGAGGACGAGCACTCGCTCCGAGGACTGCTGCAGTATCGTGGATATCTGCTCTGATGTTAAACAGCAATTGCGGCTCAGGAGCTCCACCAAACTCGTTCTGCTAGAAAAGTGGCTTATTTCTTTACACTTCAGGTGGAAAACAACGTCAAATTTGGTTCTGTAGAGATCAGAAGCCCAGTCCATCATCATTTTCTGCACAGTGAAGGATTTTCCATTGCCAGAGTTTCCCTGCAATATGACAGCACCCGGAGTGATTCCACAGCTATCTGGGTTGAACAGAGTATTCAGAGCGATGGATTCTTGAGCGCTCCTGGAACTGAGCACCTGCTGGAAAGTCTCTCCTCTGGAGGAAATCTCTTCCTCTCGTTCTTTCAGGTCTCGATGTTTCTGAATAATCAGAGGTTGTATGTAGCGATCAGACAGCAGCACATGCTCACCAGGCAGAGAGTTGTACTCTGTCACATACTGGTACTCATTGCGTATCTGCTCCTTATATTTGAGAAGCACTGATCTCCGAACTGCAGTAATAAAATGATCAAAAGATTAGAATGCAAATTGAATGACATTTTTCAATACTGTTTCTCAGGCCCTGCGCTAGCTACAATATAGGCAAATTAGATAACTGCATTGGGTATTGGGCTTTGAATACAACATAATGATATACACTCACCGGCCACTTTATTAGGTACACCTGTCCAACTGCTCGTTAACACTTAATTTCTAAGCAGCCAATCACATGGCGGCAACTCAGTGCATTTAGGCATGTAGACATGGTCAAGACAATCTCCTGCAGTTCAAACCGAGCATCAGTATGGGGAAGAAAGGTGATTTGAGTGACTTTGAACGTGGCATGATTGTTGGTGCCAGAAGGGCTGGTCTGAGTATTTCAGAAACTGCTAATCTACTGGGATTTTCACGCACAACCATCTCTAGGGTTTACAGAGAATGGTCCGAAAAAGAAAAAACATCCAGTGAGCGGCAGTTCTGTGGGCGGAAATGCCTTGTTGATGCCAGAGGTCAGAGGAGAATGGCCAGACTGGTTCGAGCTGATAGAAGGGCAACAGTGACTCAAATAACCACCCGTTACAACCAAGGTGGGCAGAAGAGCATCTCTGAACGCACAGTACGTCGAACTTTGAGGCAGATGGGCTACAGCAGCAGAAGACCACACCGGGTGCCACTCCTTTCAGCTAAGAACAGGAAACTGAGGCTACAATTTGCACAAGCTCATCGAAATTGGACAATAGAAGATTGGAAAAACGTTGCCTGGTCTGATGAGTCTCGATTTCTGCTGTTGCTGACCATGTCCATCCCTTTATGACCACAATGTACCCAACTTCTGATGGCTACTTTCAGCAGGATAATGCGCCATGTCATAAAGCTGGAATCATCTCAGACTGGTTTCTTGAACATGACAATGAGTTCGCTGTACTCAAATGGCCTCCACAGTCACCAGATCTCAATCCAATAGAGCATCTTTGGGATGTGGTGGAACGGGAGATTCGCATCATGGATGTGCAGCCGACAAATCTGCGGCAACTGTGTGATGCCATCATGTCAATATGGACCAAACTCCCTGAGGAATGCTTCCAGCACTATCTATGCCACGAAGAATTGAGGCAGTTCTGAAGGCAAAAGGGGGTCCAACCCGTTACTAGCATGGGGTACCTAATAAAGTGGCCGGTGAGTGTATTTCTTAATCTGAGGAGGTATTGACTCAGAAGGTATGCAAAATCAAAAGTCCATGCCTTTAAAAGGACTTATCATGAACATTTGACTTTTTTCTAGATTTCTAGGCTAAAATGTTTGAGCAAAGCATGCAAACTGTTCTGTTGTTGCTGCACAGACGAGCACAGAACATTATTGGACTAGAAAATGACACAGATGTCTTATAAAGACCTCAGGGAACTGTGTCAACTTGTGTAAAAGTTAATCATGACGGTACATCCAAGTCAATGAGATGAATTAATGTAACTCCTGAACAACAACAACAAAGTCAGTTATAATAATAACCTACGAATAAAAAAAATAGTCGGGCTTAATTCGGGCTCGGGGTCATAATTACAGATAATGTGTCGGGCCGGGCTGGGCTCTGACACAACATGCTCGGGTAGAGTCGGGCACTTACAGGTACGAATTAGTCGTTTATCCTTGGGGAACTTTTGGAGCCTCTCCCCCGTTTTTGAATTCTTACATCCCGCACAAACACAATAGTTAACCATTTTTTGCTAGCTAGGTTTCCAATATAACTGCTACCCTATTTGCCGTTTAAACTAACGGTATCTCTAGGCTTGGAGCATAGACAGTAAAAGCTTGGAGTCCCTTTTATGACATCATGCCCAGCGTGCTTAAAACCACTGTAAAACATACCAACTTTTCATATTATATGCAGCATTTTGGTATAAAAAAAAATGTGACCAGTTATATATATAGTAAGCACATTGAATTATCTTTGAGAAAAATGAAACCTGCAATTTACACTTAAATTTAAACTCCTCAGTATTTACTTGTGTCAGAGGTGTTTACGATGCCTCGAGCAAATAAGTGACAATAAAAAATCTAACACCCAGCAATGTTTAATTTCTTTAATTCCTAACACTGCTAGACAAAAAAATATATCCTGAGAAAAGTGGATTTTGAGGGGTATAGCTCCATAGACCTCCATTCATTCTGCACTCGACCTGTGAGCGCCCTCATATGGAACCAGGGTGGAACTGCAACCAGTTCAGAACCCGGAAGTTTACTGAGAAAGTTTTGTCCTTATTAAACATTCTCTGGTAAAACCATCATTCATCATTTACCTGAGGTCTGTATTCTCTTATTTCGGGTGATTGAGTGATGTCCAGTGATACCTGTAGATGATTACACATTGCTTACGATATTTTTAAATAAGTTCTGTTATGCATTGTTGTATTAAGAGATTTATTTATATACACACACACGATTGGAAAAAAAAAAGTGTTATCAGAAAAAAATATATAACTGTAAATAATTTATTTTTAATTTACCAGTGATATGATGTATGATCTGAACATTGCCTGTGATGTTATTGTTAGTGAGCACAGGTGCTGTAATATGGCTTTCACTCCGAGCTGCAATGTTGACATTCAGGCCATCATGAGATCTGGAATTGTCCTTGCGACCACAAAGGTGTAGACATGAGGAGGTTATATAACAAGCACTAGGTTTATATGCGTTTATATTGATACTACTGTTATGGTAAATTGGACCGTGAATAAAATTATTAATCCAAGCTATGATTCAGTTTACATTTACGCATTGTTGCATTCACATCTGTATGTAAATGAATGGAGCATAAAGTTTACTGTGATCTGACCTTATCTTAAATAATTTTTCTACCTCCTAACGTTACCTGTTTTGGGTTAAAGCTTCAAGTTGAACAGTTCTCAGTTTTTTGTACAAGTTAACGTTAAGTGTGACAGAATAAATAGCACAAGAAAACTGATAATTGTTCAAAACTGAGAACTGTTCGACTTTGTTTAAAGACTACCAAGTCAATTAAACTCTACTGATGAAATCATCATGTTACATCAAAAACAATAATAAAAGTTCTTAAATTGAACATACTGTCATTGCGGTGCATTTCTTTCTCTGTGTTACGTCCTCCTGTATTGTTTTCGGGTTGATTTTTGTTTCTGCTATTTTATCTCACAGCCAAGTCCAGTGATTGGATGGTGTTCCTGCCAGTCATCGAGTTCACCGACACCCCAAGAACCAATAAGAGACTAATAGGCGCGTCTAAGTCCCTCCCCTCCGCTTCTACTCTTCTTTGACGTCCACAAATTACTTATTAAAAATGTACACAAAAATATGTTTATATTGAACATGATACTATCACAGATAATTATTTTCCAGATAAACTAAATTAGATCAATTAACCTCAAAACTGTTTCAACAGATGATGTTGAGATGCGAGTTTGAGTCAGGAGAAAAAATGTGGGTGTGGGGGACATCTTAAACATTAATTTATTAATAATATTTAGTGCATAACTTTCTGTTTAATCAACATGTTATCAAAGGACCCATTGAAGAACCAAGCAATTACCAGTATAAGGATACTGTATGTTCAGATGTGCTTTATGGGCTATATGCACGCATAAATTCCGCATTTGACGCAAGGATGCTCGTCCATTTCCGGTTATGGAGATTTAAGCGGAGGAGAACCGAGGAAAACGGGATTATGGCAGAGTCTTCAAAATTTACTGTCCTCCCGTCTTTGAAACGAAACGTACATACGTTTAGATGTAATTTTATATATAGTTATGTTTACTTAATATAATTTTAAAAAGAAGCATAAACACAACGAGGGGTGTCTGTTGTATCTGTTTTTGTGACTAACGTTTCATTAGTATAACCATGGAGTATAAAATTCAATATAAATTCTCGGTATTGCATTGGACTCTACGATCGGAAGTTATCGAGCATCCTTAATCCTTCAGCAGAAATACCGCCGTGCATAGAGCCCATTACTGTGTATTCAGCATTTTTCCATGGCATCCCTATGTTTAGATTTTTCCTGATTAATTTCATCTTACAATATAGTTAAACCATAGTTAACCCAGTTTTACAATTTTTCACTGATTATTTAAAACTCCTTCACTCTAAATAAGATAAAAATATGCCAATTTGCCATAATCTCTAAAGAACGATAAAGTCTTCTTCATCAGGGTCCTCGGGGTCATCGTCATTGTGATTTTCTGTCTCAATGTTATCTATTGTGAACAGTCTCGTGAGAGAGTCCCTGCAGAAGGTGACCTTCACTTTCTCATCGCAGGCTGGTGATGATTTGGATGCGTCTATCATGACTTCACTGCGCCCATCCATCGTTTCACTGCACTTCACCCTTTAAAGAGATTGAACAGCAGTCATTAAACCATAATTAATGGTGCATTTCTTGGATAAATGAGATTATAGGACAAACCCTGTGATGATAATCCTGCAATCTGAAACCATCTGAGAGCTCTGGAGGATCCTCACGACATCCTCCAACAACAAGCCACCACTTTCAATGCAGTCATATCTGAAACAATACCACTTCTCAATAGGAATATTTCCATTTGAGTGTTTAAGAGAAATGGACAAACTGCAATGTCTTTAACCCTCTGGGGTTGTTCGGCCCAAATGGACCCGAAGAATTTAAATAAAACATTTTTAAAAATCACCGCTTCCTCAGAATGGTCTGAAATTTGGTGACTTTGTTGGTATTTGGTATTTGAACACCCAAAAAAATTGAGGACAGGATGTGAGTAGTCTAAGTGGTTGTAAAAAAAAATACTCACACTTGGGGTTTTCGGGTCCAAATGGACCCGCATGGAAAATGAATGGGAAATTGGCAAAAATGTGAAAATACTGAGTTCAATCTACAAATCAGCCACGATCTTGAAAAAAAGCACACAACAGTGAAGGGGTGAATCTATAAAACATCAAGAGTGCAAAACAGACACATCCAGACACACACACACAAACACACTTTTATACACAAACGCACCAAAAAATTCTGTTTTGCATTTTTAAAATGCTCAGTTTGTCCACCAGATGGCATCCATCTAATTTTAAAAATTGCTTTTGAGGCCTAGGCTTGACTCTAAAATGAAATACAGCTTTAAAAAAAAAATGTAAAATATTTTTTCTATTATGTTCAATGGGGGGGAAATTTTGTCATAATTATTGCATTAATACTAATTATAATTTTTTTTTTTTGAAATTTTCTCAAAACACCAAAAAAGAAAAGAAAAAATATAAAAAACGAGTAAAAAAAAAAAAAATCATGATTTTTTTTTTTAAATATGAATCCCGCCCTTTGGGTCCATTTGGACCCGAACACCCCGAGTGTGACTCTGAAACGAACAACCCCAGAGGGTTAAGCATCCTCTTACCTGATCTCTTGAAGACTGGGACAGACTTCGACTAAGAACAGAATCCTCCTCACCCAGTTCTCTGTTAGACTGCTGATCTGGAGTCCGACTCTCCGCAGACCAGAAACTGAGAGTAAGCTGGACATCAAATTACCCACAAGCTCTTCATGCTCTGAACAGCTGGATTATGAGCAAAATAATTAGAAATGTCAGGTTCACTGATAAATATAAATGGTGCATACGTTTCACGTTTATAATGAAATTGCAGGATCCTTACCTTTCCTCTAAACCTTTAAGGATGTCAAGGGTTTTAAAGAGCTCCAGTCCATCGAGTTTAGAAATCTCTGAACATGGTGATGTGAATGAAACGAATGATGGGGATATTATTTCAATCATGCTATCACCGGCCAACCGAATGTCAACTGTACAGCTACGTAGAAAAGAGATGATCAAGTAAGTCACGACGAGTGCATATTTTTATGCTCATATTAGGAATCGGTGTAATTTCTTCACAGCCTAAATGGACTTACGTAGAGTCTGTGATGTTTTTGCTAACGATGAGAGAGGAACACACATTTAGCACACTGTATCTCTTATCAGAGTGCACCTGCAAACTGACAGACGAGAAAAAAAAAAAGAAAAAAAAAACAGGGCTATACTTTACACATATTTATTTTATTGTACCATAATATGCGATCCACCTGCTTAAAGTTAATCTTTGAGTATAAGACAGTAAAACAACATAATAAAATTGCATAATAATAATAATAAATAAACCGACCAATAGCAAACCACAACGATCTAATCAATTCCCCCCCAAAAAGTCCCGCCCAGCATTTGTTTTTATTCCAGAACACATTTCACAGAGATATACGTCAAAACGAAGAAGAAAAGACTATCATAACTTTTAATTTTATTTCATGTGGAACAAAACTAGTTATCTAATGTAAGATATAGTTTTCATTCTTTCTAGCAGCAGAAGTATTGTCAGATCATCATACCAGACATCATGGAGGCTGGGACATGTGTGACACAGGGAGAGGATCTTTGGTACCCAGTTCTCTGTCAGGCAGTCCGTCGTCAACTGCACCTTTTTCAGACCAGACACCGAGTGCAGAGACAACAGCAGAGCGTCCACAGTCTCGTCAAACGCAGGACTACTGTTGTTACATGGAAAGTGATTCATATTTAGTTATGCTTCATCTCTAGTGTGTAATGCTGCTGTTTCAGTATTAAAAGGCTCTGCAAAGTTAGTCAGTCCAAAGGGTGTTATTCTCTAAATCAGTGCGCACTGTTTCTGAACTGATCTTTATTTTTCTTCCGGAAAAGTATACGTCTGAAAATATCACTTATTTAAATAATTTAGACCATTTCACAAGATGTAAACACTGGTCCAGAAGCACTTCCTGTTTCAGTTTGTAACTGTTTTCTTTATTTCACATGTAAAGAAAACATCTTAAAGATGTTTGTTTAACTTTTCGATTCAGTTTTAAATGTTCTGTTGGTTGTATTTTATCCCAGCTTTTATATAGTGTTCAAAAACTGAAACAGGAAGTGCTTCTGGACCAGTGTTGTTTACGTCTTGTGAAATGGTCTATACGCAAAAAAAACAGGTTAGTTAGTTACAGTAGTAGTGTGTTGAAACTAGTGGTTATGGTAAGGGACGGGACATTTCCAAATCCCACACTGGAAGAGGTTGACCAATCATAACACACTGGTCCAGACGACCAATCAGAGCACATTGCGCTTATCGGAAAGAGGGGCTTCATTCAGACAGGAACTAAACTGAGTGTTACTGACAGACTGGGAAGTGAGGTGCTGCAATAAGTTAAAATATGTGAAAAATAATGCGTGTTTTAAACATTCAAACACGCAAAACCTATTCCAGACTAAATCAAGACTTTGTAAAAGGGTATAATATAGCCTCTTTAATGAATAGATATTAAAATGAAGGTTCGGTTTCATAGTGAGCAATGACAATTTTATTTTTACCTTATAGAGAGCCCTTTGAATCGGTTATAAGCTCGTATGAAGGTTTTCCAGTCACTGCTAGTTTGTCCTGAGTTTTCAGACAGCGTGAGCTCTATCCGTGAGAGCAGTGACAGTGTGTTGGGACTGGAGTCATTGCACTTCACAATCAAGCTAAAAGGGAAATAGGAATACATACATAAAACAGTACAATTAGCGTTTATACATACTTATTTTTTTTTATAAAATTTGATGACAGAACAACTGTGGCTTTTTCAAATTAACACACTGAGTCAGATGCACACATACATACAGTCAGTGTTGGGTGTAACTAATTACTAAGTAATTAGATACTGTAATTTAATTACTTTTCCCTTGAAAATGTAAAGTAAGGGATTACTCTTCATTTATCTGTAATTTAATTACAGTTACTTTTGATGTAATTGAGGTAAATACTGTGTATATAGATCAATCCGATCTCAAAGCGATTCGTATGCATTTTATGAGGTGTCTAAATTGTATGACCGCACTCGTAAAAATTCGTATAAATTATTGTAAAATTTGTATGAAAAAAGTGTGAAATATCATGAGATCAGACATAAAACAATAGTGGGTTTAACATCAAAATGTATTGTCTGATGCTAAAAAGTATGTTTTTATAATGTAACCTTCTTCACCTTGGTCAGTTTAAGGATAATTCATGCAATTTTATAGTATTTATTTGAAAGAATTAAAACAGATTCATGTCTATCCTTGTATTATTCAGCTGGTTGAGATTGATCTGGGATTTTGAAAGTAATTAAAAGTAATTAAATACAGTAATCTAATTACACTGTTAAAGAGGTTATTAGTAACTAGTAATTAATGACTTTTTTAGATAACTTACCCAACACTGCATACAGTATATGTGTATTAAAACATTTATTTGGAAGGATTTTTAATGTCTTTCTTTTAAAAACACAGTATGTTAGAAGGGCACCAACATCTAATCAAATTTATGTTTATGTGAAACCACTTGTTTTAAAATGGATTTAGTAGATGGTTTTATCCATGGTTGACTTACATGGCATTCAAGGTATAGTGTACATTCTATCAATACATGCATTCCCTGGGTATCGAACCCATGACTATGATGTTGCTAGCAATATGCTCTACTGATTGAGCTACAGTAATGCATAAAACAGGGCTTAACTCTGCTCTAAATACAGTAGCACCATAAAATATACAGTAATTTAATACTATTTAAAAAGACCTTCCAAATATAGTCATATCAAACCAAAACAAACCAATGAACACTTATCAACTAGCTCTCATGGATATCCATTATTCTGGTTTGTGGTTTACAGTATGTTTAAGTAATACAGTGCGCTCATACCTGCATTTTCCAGACAAAGTTTTCCACATCCTGATATCTGTGCAAAGAATACGCTCCACAAGCTGATCAGAATCGCTGCAGGTAAAAGACACAGGATGTGTTACAGTAGCTTTCTTTACAGATTTAACTTGATATCTGATGTTTTGAGCAGAAGTGATCGTATCAGTATTATATATACAATATTTTCTCACTTGATTTCATGGCTGCAGTCACTGAGAGGCGAGGACATGCTGTCTTCATCACTGTCTGACATCTGTCTTGCAGACTGAACCCTGTTAATATTTTCACTCTTAGGTAGATGAACACTTTCCTCAAATACAATTGTGCTGAATAATCCAAAAATATATCGCATATCCTCTCCACAAATAATACAAAAAGTCGAACTGAAATCAAAACCTGACACTTTTCAATTAAATTAAGATTGTTTGGATCAAGACTTGTGCTATATATTGTATGTCATTAAATATATAGTTTCACTTTGAAAAGCTGTACATCATATTACAGAAGTATAATGATTTCCAATTAGACTCTTGAATAAAAACTGTCATCTCACCAAAAGTCATTCGACCTGTCTGAATCACTGTCCTCGTCACTCTCACGCATCCTGTGGACTCTGAAAAGCAACAACAGAAATAACATTTTACAATATTTAATAAAAACAGAGTGAAATTCTCAAACAGTCAAATTCGGTCAAATTCATGTTGTTTACTTTATTCGACTACTCCATTTCCTCCTTGTAGGCCTGAGACGAGAGTTCAAGAGATTTCCACGACGCATGCGCGAGAATTGCGATCTCCTCTTACTACTTCAGTTCAGTTCTCGCGCATGCGTCGTGGAAATCTCTTGAACTCTCGTCTCAGGCCTACAAGGAAGAAATGGAGTAGTCGAATAAAGTCGTTATTTTTGTTGGTTTTTTCGCACAAAAAGTATTCTCGTCACTTGATAAACTTATTGTTGAGCCACTGTTGTCACATGGAATATTTAAACCTTTTCTTCATCGACTTTCTGGGCCGTCAAGTTTCAATCCCTTAGGCAGCCTATGTAGCAGTGATCCACCTCTCAAATTTAATCAAAAATATCTTCATTTGTGTTCTGAAGACGATCGAAGGTCTTAGAGGGTTGGGAATTAATTAATTAATTACTTAATTTTCAAAAAAAAAAAAAAGGGTGAAGACTTTATGGGCCGTCAAGAGCCAGTCCCTTAGGAAGCCTATGGAAGACTGATCCAGCCCTCAGATTCAATCAAAAATATCTTTATTTGTGTTCCGAAGATGAACGAAGGTCTTACGGGGTTGGTACAGCATGGGGGTGAGTAATTAATGACTTAATTTTCATTTTTGGGTGAACTAACCCTTTAAAGAAAAGGTTTAAATATTCCATGTGCCTACAGCGGCTCAATTATAAGTTTATCAAGCGACGAGACTACTTTTTGTGCGAAAAAAACATAAATAACGACTTTATTCCACTTTTCCTTTACTTCCTTATGGGCACATGCTTGAGAACTGAGACGAGGAGGTTCTCATTCGACTACTTCTTGTTACCGGCTGCTCACCGCTTAGGAGTTTTACCGCCCCCTACCGTATAAGATGATGTGCTGATATAGCTGGAAGCGCAAAACTTTCTGTTTACAAGCAGAGGAAGATGCGCGCTGTACATACGCTTTTCAATTAGCGTATTTTCCGCACTATAAGGTGCACTTAAAAGCCTTTAATCTTCTCAAAAAAACGACAGTGTTCCTTATAATCCGGAGCGCCTTATATATGGATCATCATTTTATACGGTAGGTGGCGGTAAAACTCCTAAGCGGTGAGCAGCCGGTAACAAGAAGTAGACGAATGAGAACGTCCTCGTCTCAGTTCTCGCGCATGCGCCCATAGGGAAGTAATGGAATAGTGGAATAAAGTCGTTATTTATGTTTTTTTCACACAAAAAGTAGTCTCGTCGCTTGATAAACTTATAATTGAGCCGCTGTAGGCACATGGAATATTTAAACCTTTTCTTTAATGACTTTATGGGCCGTCAAGAGCCAGTCCCTTATGCAGTCTATGTAGACAAATCTTCATTTGTGTTCCGAAGATGAACGAAGGTCTTATGGGGTTGGTACAGCATGGGGGTGAGTAATTAATGACTTAATTTTCATTTTTGGGTGAACTAACCCTTTAATAAAGCATCAGTTGGTGGCACATGTCTTCATGCTTGTAGAATATAGGAATCCCTAATGCCTCACCTGGAGAATTCATTCCTGAAGTCCTTCTTGAAGTTTGCTTTACTTGTCTCAGGCCGCTCATCTGCCAAAAAACTGAGCCAAAAGGTACATTATTAAAGCTGCAGTCCATAGCTTTTTTGGGGGTTAGAAAATATCCAAAATACATATTTGAGAAAATACATAACCAACCAGTGTTCAAAACGATCTGCTTGTCTTATCATCATATCCATCATACCATTGATCAGCTCTACCAAACTTGATTGTCTTTTTTTCATGAATAAACAAACACTGTTATGATGTCTTGATTGATACTGTGAAGCAGCTTTGATACAATCTGTATTGTGAAAAGCGCTATAAAAATATATTTGACTTGATTTGACTTGACTCTTAGCTTGATTCAAAGCGGTAAGCTTGTAGTAATGTTTTTAATTCAGTGGTACTGATGGATTTCCATGGGAGATTCGAGCATGTCTTTGCGTCATTATGTTACATATGTACACATAAAGAAGAGTCTCGGCTTGTATAAGCTATATTGCGTGTGTGGATGTTGGAGGTGGAGATTTATAGCCTTTTCTAACAGCAGCTTTAAAGCAATGACACTATTATTAGTAATCCAGTGAGCTTTTCTTATCATATCAATCACATCAAATGCAGTGTTCAACATGCATGTCACCATCACTAAGTAACTGTAATCGTGTGTAGCCTATACTCGTATGAACTGAATTCTCACGTTAATTCGCTCAGACTGGATTTCATCTGAATGAGATCCAGGACTCTGGACGCTCCATCCACAGTCATGAATCTGAAGAAAAGATCAACCTTCTTCAGACCAGAGGCCGAGTGCAGGGCAGAGAGTAGATCACACACACTCTCATCATACTCTGAAGAACTGTTAAAAACATAGAAATACAGATTTTCAATCATTGTGAGACTAAAACACTGCTCATTTTCCCTATTGCAAACATACAAACACTCTCACTCTCTCTTTCTCTGAAATAGTTACCACTCAGTCAAGTCTTTCAGCTGGTTGTAGGCCTGAAAGAATCTCCTCCAGTCAGTATTTGCGTTCTCAGAGTCGTCTGTCACTGCGATGGTGATGCAGGGAACCACTGTGTGCTCTGGAGGTTTAAAGAGGTCGATACCACAGCAGTCATCATCTATATATTTCAGATGGTTACAGCCGACCGAGAGCCTGCAAAACAACAGGATACCATGAACCAAATTTTCCCCTGAAACAGGGAACCAATCACAGAACGGGGAGGGAGCACGGGTTCATTTGATAGACATTAGTAGCATTCGTAAACCACGCCTCAAATACGTGAAAATGAACATGTGGTTTCCAGACAACGTCTCATTCTCAATGATACGTGGTCTGGCGTTAACCAGGCGGTACTTTAAAGAAAATATAGCTGGGTTTAAAGTTTAAAACATATATTACCTCACTCCTTCTTCTCTCAACACACCCAGACTCTCCATATCACTTACAGGAGACATACTGGTATTCAGTCTGCCAAAAGAGAATTTATTGTGTTTAGATGTAGAAAGAAGACACAGCCATTTCCTTACAGATGTATTGTGTAAGTAGCATGGTATCAGATAATGCATGATATATGCCATAGTGTTGGAGCTATTATTTTGAATTGTATTTTTTTTTTTGTGACAGACGGCGCATGAGTATTTTGAATACATGGTGATGATGAACAGGTGCACTGATCAACAAACTTTTTGCTCATGCCCAACAGTATGTTTTGAATCAGATATTTTGGTTTAATATTCATTTTATTTGTTATTTGGAACGTTAAATGGACACTAAATGGATTTGGCTAATCGAAAATTATTCTGAAGGTATGGACAATAACTTAATTTTATTCAAGACAAAAGCACGCGTCACAAACAGACTAATGAAGCCATCTGCATCCCTACACCAGTATATAATGTCTATACAACGTTTTTTAAACCATGGCACTTCTTTGTATGTTTTCAAGTGGAAAAAACGCAACGGTTTATTCTTACTGCAAGTGAAGTAAGCTGGAACAAGACAGGAAGAGTGTGAACAGACCAGCCGCCCAGCTCTCAATCAGGTTGTTTAGCCAAACTTTAACCTCCTTCAGACCAGGAACAGAGTGAAGAAACAGCAGCAGAGAATCTGTATGCTCATCCAAATCTGGGCATCTTAAAAAAAGAAGATTATGTATTAGCTTATTGAATTTATTGGAAAATTTCCAGTAGCACCTTACTGCAGTGCACGAGATCCAGAGGGGGGAGTTAGATCTAGATCTAAGGGGTGGAGATGGGTAGGATAAGGGGTGGGGTCAGGGATCAGGGGGTGGAGATGGGTAGGATTAGGGGTGGGGTCAGGAATCAGGGGTGGAGATGGGTAGGATTAGGGGTGGGGTCAGGGATCAGGGGGTGGAGATGGGTAGGATTAGGGGTGGGGTCAGGGATCAGGGGGCGGAGATGGGTAGGATTAGGGGTGGGGTTAGGGATCAGGGGTGGAGATGGGTAGGATTAGGGGTGGGGTCAGGGATCAGGGGGTGGAGATGGGTAGGATTAGGGGTGGGGTCAGGGATCAGGGGGTGGAGATGGGTAGGATTAGGGGTGGGGTTAGGGATCAGGGGGCGGAGATGGGTAGGATTAGGGGTGGGGTCAGGGATCAGGGGGTGGAGATGAGTGGGATTAGGGGTGGGGTCAGGGATCAGGGGGTGGAGATGGGTAGGTTTAAGGGTGGGGTCAGGGATGAGGGGGTGTAGATGGGTAGGTTTAAGGGTGGGGTTAGGGATCAGGGGGTGGAGATGGGTAGGATTAGGGGTGGGGTTAGGGATCAGGGGGCGGAGATGGGTAGGATTAGGGGTGGGGTTAGGGATCAGGGGGTGGAGATGGGTAGGATTAGGGGTGGGGTTAGGGATCAGGGGGCGGAGATGGGTAGGATTAGGGGTGGGGTTAGGGATCAGGGGGCGGAGATGGGTAGGATTAGGGGTGGGGTTAGGGATCAGGGGGTGGAGATGGGTAGGATTAGGGGTGGGGTTAGGGATCAGGGGGTGGAGATGGGTAGGTTTAGGGGTGGGGTCAGGGATCAGGGGGTGTAGATGGGTAGGTTTAAGGGTGGGGTTAGGGATCAGGGGGTGGAGATGGGTAGGTTTAAGGGTGGGGTTAGGGATCAAGGGGTGGAGATGGGTAGGATTAGGGGTGGGGTCAGGAATCAGGGGGTGGAGATGGGTAGGATTAGGGGTGGGGTCAGGGATCAGGGGGTGGAGATGGGTAGGATTAAGAGTGGGGTTAGGGATCAGGGAGTGGAGATGGGTAGGATCAGGGGTGGGGTTAGGGATCAGGGGGTGGAGATGGGTAGGTTTAGGTATATGTAAGGTGGATTTGGATTTCGCGTCCCCCTGGATTTCGTGTTCTGCAGTGAGGACCATCCCTAAATTTCAGATAACGAATATATCAAGACAACTGTTGATGTGAACAAATTAAAATGGACCAAATATAGAAAATATTTTAAGATGGTATTCGAGAGAACCTAAAAATCAGAATGCATCATGTTGCGTTACATTTTTAAGTTCTCCCAACAATTCCTTTTTTTACAAACTCACTGTTCTGTCAGTTGAATGACATTGTAAAGCCTTTTGAAAAGAACCTCCCAAATGACACTAGACCCTTTAAGAGGAGGGAAACTGAGCGTGAGCTTCACCAGTGCCGGTTTGTCCAGACAATGGGAATGTGCCAGCTCTCCACTGCTACCATATCTGTAAAGAAACATTCATTTTCATACAATAAATGTTCACGCAGTAAGACTTAAAATGGTGTGTGAGTGTTAAAAGAATGCAGGATATTTCGTGCTTGAATTCTTACGCAATATCATGCGCCCATCTGTCCATTGCAAGAGTCAATGATGGATTTTTCCATTCACTTTCATGCATCTTGTACCTAAAAAGAATTTACTAACAGTTATTTAGCACAACCATAGACTTGATGGACCAAGCAAAATGAAAAGAGAGGATGACTTACGGTTCAAATGGCTTTCTAAAGACCGAAAATGTCGAACAGACCCTTTCGTCATCACTAATCATGAGGTTGCTCACATGAAAACTAATAAAACACAAATGTGATCGAAAAATAAATCAGCTGTACATTTCTTGAGAGATTACAGCTTAAATATGTAAATATTATTTGCTCCTACTTTATGTGAGAAATCTTAGGATTGACTTGAAGGTAGCACAGAATTCTGGAGGTCCAAATATCTGTCAGGTACTCTGCTCGTAAGTCCAGCTCAGTTAATCCAGGAACACAACTTATGAAAGACAGCAGTGCATCCACATTCACACCAAACTCTCTGTTTTTCCTTGGAACAAACACACAAATACCAATGTTATGCATGTAAAAACACAAAAAGGATGGGTATATAAAAAGTAAAATGAGAATACCTACAACTCTGAGAAGCATCTGAGGTTATGGGATGACTTGAAGAATTCAGTCATGGGTATTACAGAGAAAGGACAGAGCGCGAAGGATATTTTGGAAAACCCTTGATAATAAGAAAGACCAAGCTTTTCTGAGATTTCACCCTTATGCCCTTCTGAATGCCCAACAGTAAACCTGAAATTAGGAAAAAGAATGATTCAATTATTCAAAGTCACATACTGTTATATTCTTATCTGAATAAATGTAAGGCATTTTATTTGAGAATGATGTTGGTTGGAAAATGGATAAGAATTTAAATACCAGACAGAATTATTTTTGCTTGCCATGGTGAACTCTGAGCAAAGACTGTTTTGTATGGTTTCTGCTTGACTGGCAATGCAAACGCTGTGAAAATCAAATGCAATTAGCATTAATCTACAAAATACCTGGTTTCAAATGTAAAAAGATTGCATGTCTTCTTGTTTCTTGGGCAGCTGACATACACTTCATCTTAAAACTTTTAAAGTATTCTTCTACTCTTTTATAGTTATTATGCATATCGTTTTAATCGCATCACATTAATTGAGAGGCAGGATGTAATATTTGTACTGTAAAACTGAGCCCTTTTCTGCAAAAAGCTATAAATGTTATGTACATATCTCTATATTTATGTACATTATATGGAAATGTATGCAGATTCATGCATATGTTCCCTATATTTATGCTCAAATTTCCCTATTATGAACATTTAAACCAGAAACCTTGACGTTCATGTCCATGATATTTGTCAGCTACCTGTTTGTTACCAAGTTCGTCATTGTATTGGTTTACCTGAATCTTCTATCCATCATCTCTTGTACAAGAAAGTTCATGGTCATATCAACATTTGTGTCGCTGATGCTCTTCAACACCAGTCGAATGTTACCCACTGATGTTTGCCCACTAAGCGTTTTCAGGATCTTCTGTACACTTTCATCTGATAGGGCTCCATCCTCCATGCTGCAATGCATTTATAACACTTTTAATTATGATGTAGCATACAAATTTGGAAAGGCTGTCTAAATTTCTCGGAGATCCGAATCGGACGACAGACGTTGCCTAGCAACACGCCCCCTTTCCTCGGATTTCTCCTCTCGGACGTCGGACAACCGTGAGGACACCGAGCAAGAATTCCGTTTCGGAATTCAAGATGGCTGCGCCTTGTGACTTGTAAGAATGAATTGTTTTCATTGTTTTTGAACCACTTTGGTATTTTAAATGACGATTTATCACTCGTATTACTGCGTCCCCTGTGGGTATGGGAATCGGTTGTTGTGAGTGCAGTATGCTTTATGCCGTGCGTCACGTGACCAAACGGGAAAACGGTCTCATCGCATCCGCTTGTCAGAGAAAGTGACGGCCGTAAGAACTGACAATGATATATAGGCTATGGATTTTTAAGGTAATCAGCTAACCTAACTAGTTCACTTTGTTATTGTCATTTTATTCCATTTAAATATCTAAACGTCTCTGTGAAGAAGAAAAAATATAAAACGTTTAAAAATATCAATCTGCATATGTGAGGGATATTGATTATGCTAATCTTTGCTCACTCCTTTTAAGTTATCTTGAGTAAAACCGCAAAAAATTTCATGAAGCACATACAAAAGACCTGGACCGGAAGCGATGCGACCTGTTTTACAGAATGCGGAAGTAAGTTGTGCATAAAGCCTAATGTTGCTAGCGTTGCTAACAGAAGATTAACATGAAATAAAGTGAACATTTTCAAGTTCAAATGGCTGCGTTTTGATAAGGTGTAGTCATAATATATATATTTTTTTAATGTAAGTGCCGCCTGGTACTCGGCCAGTGCTACCGTTACAACAGCTTTCCGGGTGGCGTCCATTTTTTTCTCCGACTCAGACGCGCAAAACATAATAAAACGGCTGAAGTGTGGACGTGACGTCATATCCGAGGTCCGAGTCGGTTCGTTGGCTATAATAGAACGCACCATAAGTAGAACATATCCCTGGATCAACATCCAACATCCAAACATTCCAATAAACCAATAAGAGCTGGAGGACGTGTTTATCTAGGCAAAATCAGGACGTGCAGAATGCAGATATTCAGTGCCTCATTGGGAATAGTGGCATTGTTACATTTACAGGTATAAAAAGAGTAGCACATACTTCAAATTGTCCACGTTCTTTCTCCTCCCCAGGGCTGATGTCAGGTGGTTAACATCGGAGTCAGATAAGGAATCAAAATCCAGCCTTCAAAAACAAAAACCTATAATTCTTCATATGATAATAAGAACTTTAATACATTGTATGCACCATCAAGGTTTTTACAACATGATGAGATGGTAATAACATTTTTGGACCATGGAATACAAATACATTTTGAAAGATAATATAATTTAAGAACATAAATTACCATAAAGATGTGCACCTGCAGAGTACATGATGAAGCATCTTTAGATCTTTTGCATTGCACTTGACATTCATACTGATAATGCGTGAAGAATACTTGAGGCAGTACATCACAACCTGACAGTCGATCCCCTTCAAAGACCAGTGTATGTCAATGCCAATGCGTTCCCACCGCGTCATAACGTTCTTCAGTATGTCCCTATCATGAAGCTCATACAAGCAATGAAGAAAGAAATCACTCATGAACATTGTGGTCATGGATTTCTTCTCTATAACTCTGCTGATCCATTTTTCCAACTGGGAGCGAATAACGGTAGACGTTGACCGTGGATTTCCCCCGAGGATTAAACGGCTAACTTTCTTGTTTGAGAGACCAAAAAGGAACCGGATTACAGGGAAGAGATGCTCATTGCGCCTCCCGTTGCTTGCTGCTTCCAATAGCTCCTTGATTTTTATTTTTGCATCCGCCTCATCTGTTAACACATAGAACAGAGCGGTGAAGAACTCCTGAAAGCTGAGGTGCATGAAACCAAACATCTCCTTCAGATTAGTTCTCTCTTGCTGGCGGAATGTGCATAGGAAGGGAATGTTGGGTAATTCAGAGATTGCTTTTGGAAGATCGTTTCTGGGAAACAGGACTTGGCGTTTTGACAATCCACTCTCGGCTAGCTGCCCCAGGTTCTTGAGGAGGTCGAGCACTTCATGCTGACTCGAACTACTGTGATGCTTCAAGAGAGTGAAGACAAAATCGACGAATATAGACGTGGTTGTCGTCAACTCGCTAGTATCAACACCATCTTTTCCTTTTCTTTTGAAAATTGTGCAGACGATCCAGCAGATGACTGGGATGAAGCAAGCGGTGTAGAGCAGCTCTTGTCTCTTCACCTGCTCACACACTTGACTTGAAAACTCTTCGTCCTCAAAGAACCTCTGGAAGTATTCACTCACTCCTTTTTCTGAAAATCCCATGATCTCCATGAAGCATTGAGGCTTTTTCAGAATGCTCTCCAGTTTGTCAACAGCGTTCGATCTTGTAGTCACCAGCAGGAAGGACTCTCTCATCATACGTCCTTTCAGAAGAGAGCAAACAATGGCCAATGGGTGCGATTTGATGACTGGTTTTGATGGCAATGCCTCTTTGGATGTTGGCAGCATGAGTTCATCAAAACCGTCAATGATGAACAAGATCCTCTGTGGGATGTCTTTTAATATCTGACCAATTTCAATAGGAGTTAAACTGCAGTTAAGGAGATCCACCAAGCTCATTTCTCCTGAGAGACAGCTGAGCTCTTTACATCTTAGATGAAACACGACATCGAAGAGTCCAGCGTAGAGCTCTCCAGAGGCCCAGTCCAGAAGGATCTTTTGTGCAGTGATTGATTTCCCACTTCCAGAATCCCCTTGGAGAATCACAGCTCTTGGAGTCACTTTTTTGGGGCCGTTCTCTGGACCGAACAGCCTATCAAGGCTGATGTTTTTGTTTCTCTGGTTACTTTCTCTTGTGTTGAAGAATCGTTCCCCTCTAGAGCGCATCTCATTCTCTCGCTCTTTCTTTTCTCGGTGTTTCTGAACTATCAGCGGATCAATGTAGCGGTCATTAAGCAGCACCTGTTCACCCGCACGGGAAGTGTATTCTGTGATGTAGGCATATTCGGACAGTAGGGACTCCTTGTATTCTGTGATCAATGAGCTTGTATCTGCAAAAGAATATGGTTTATTTTAGATATTAGATTTTGCTGACAAAATGTATAATCATAACTAATTGTACAAGTACTGAGAATTCTCACTATATGGTAAAGAAATTGGGTGTTTTACCTACTTAAAGAAGTAGTTCACCCAAAAATAGTAATTCTCAAATCATTATTCATACTCATATTGTTCCAAATGAGTATGATTTTCTTTTGTGAAACAAAAAAAAAAAAGATATTTTGAGAAAATAGCTGTTTGGTTACAACCAATATACTTCAAAATATCCTTTTCTGTGTTCCGCAGACAAAGAAAGCCCGGTTATAATGTAAAGTATGAGTGAATTTAAATTTTTGGGTAAGCTGTCCTTTTAACTGTTTACATATGTCAATTTATGTCATATGTAAAAATAATTTTACCCAGTGGTGTATATTACCTGTGATTTCAGCTGCAGGCCCTACAGCTGGAATAATAAATCTTAGATTATTACAAATATTAATAATACAGAAAGTATATTATCTAATTATTTGGACATCTCTATGCATTTGTATACTTATTGACAAAATGTGTTCAGCTGTGACGTTTCCACCATCAGAGAAGCACTTCCACTCACCTGGAAAGTAATTAGAAATATTAATATTTCCTGTGACTGTTGAGTTTAATATGAGAGGTGCTGAAACATTGCTTCCACTTTGGGCAGAGATGTTGATTTTAGAGACTTCAAGAGGCTCCCCTTTGTTTGCCCCTTTGTCTTCTGATAGAAAGGAAAGACACATCATTAATTATATTTTTTTAAACCATATAGTTTACATGCAAGGGCCTATAACAGAAACAATATTATTATATAAATGTATTCAAATCAGCCCTGATCTGGTGTGTTTCACAGGGCTGTACACTACCATAATTAGACATGTCCATCTGCTGTTTTCAGTGCACTCCTCTAATCTGAAATGACCAGCTCAACCTGAGGGGAAAAAAAAAGGCAAATATTATGTAGGGGTGATGTCTGGTTCATTGTGACACTTTTTTTCCACTGAGATAACTGGGGAAAAAATGTCCCATTTAAACTGAATTCATCATAATAAGTGACAATTAAGAGGAAATAAGTATTATATGTTTTGTGTTTTCACATAATTAGCAGTATAGGTATCAGTAGTTTACAAATCGCAATGATTTATCTCCATATGAGTTTAATACTATTTAGTGTTGTATGTCAGATACTTAACCAATCACAATCATTTATTCATTACTTACCTCCTTCCCAAATTTATAATTATAATAAAATTCCGACAGTTACTTTTATGGCAGTAAAATGTCTCGGTTATGGATGTAACCTTCATTCCCTGAGTTGGGAGTATAGAACTGGCCGTTAGTTTTTTCTACTTATTAGAAATGTGGCCTTTAGATAGATAGATGGATAGATGGATAGATGGATAGATAGATAGAAATAAAGAAATAGACAGATAAATAGAAAGAGATAAATAGAAAGACAGATAGATAGAAAAAAGAAAGATAGAAATAAAGAAATAGATAGATAGAAATAGACAGATAGAAATAAACAAATAGATAGATAGAAATAGACAGATAGATAGAAATGGATAGATAGATAGATAGATAGATAGATAGATAGATAGATAGATAGATAGATAGATAGATAGATAGATAGATAGATAGAAATAAAGGAATAGATATAAATAAAGAAATAGATAGATAGAAATAGACAGATAGATAGAAATAGAGATAGATAGAAATAAATAAATAAATAAATAGATAAGACAGATAGAAATAAAGAAATAGATAGAAATAGACAGATAGATAGATAGATAGATAGATAGATAGATAGATAGATAGATAGATAGATAGATAGATAGATAGATAGATAGATAGATAGATAGATAGATAAGATGGATAGATGGAAATTAAGAAAAAGATATTAAGAAAAAAGATAGACAGACAGACAGACGGACGGATAGATCGGGGGTGCGTTTCCGGAAAGCATCGTTAGCCAACTATGGTCGCAAGTTCTGTCGTTACTAACTTGCGACCATAGTTGGCTAAGTTAACAATGCTTTCGGGAAACGCGCCCCAGGGCAACACAAAGCGCGTTGTTTCTCTGCTGTTTCTGTAATTACCGTACTCATGGTAATAGGCGCACAGGCGTTTGTTTTGGCGACTGGCTTGACTGACCGCACCGCAGTGCTACAGCTACCTTGTGTTTGTAACTATAGATGTTTAACAGGAAATACTGTGTGATTCGGTGGTCTGTACTACTTTTTAAAAATGATCATAAGTGAAGTCAAGAATATGATAAACGCAATAACGTTACTTACCTGGCGCTTGAACATCGCTGTGTGTCCTGCGAGCTTGAGCAGATATTAGTGATGGCTGAGAGAAAATACTTTCACTTTTAATTTGACAACGAGACCAGCCTTAACTGGGAAACTTTTTTCTTTTTCTTTTTGACAGTGTCTGAATCACGTTGAAACCATCCTATACACTCAACTCTTCCGTAATAGAATGCAGTTTAAGGTTTTTATTAATATGTCATCCTTTTTTATCAGAAATGTGTCACTTTGGTTTTCAGTGGCATTGCATAGGTTGTAATGTTTACATTAAAGGTGCTGATATTATTAATCTTGGTTTATTTTTTTTTTACATGTTTTAGGGGTTTGTAGACTTTATCATACACTGTAGTGGAACACTACTTTTGAAATATTTACATTTATGTAAATATTTGACATGGCAGTATTGCTTTAGTCTCTGATGCCGTTGGCCCACATTGATATGTAATTGAATTCACCTGAACATGCTGAACAGATCAATCCAAAATACATATTTTTTCCCCCACTTCTTTGTCCCTAAAATTGGTGAAAAGTTAAACAAGACAAATCAAAAACATGATTTTAATATGCTTTCTTTATTCACTATCTCTTTTATCACAAAGAAAGTGTCTGAAATGCAGACTATAGTATAGAGAGTGTTTGGTATAGAAACTGTACACAAAAGCAAGGCACTATACTGTACATTTAAATTAATATCTTTTCTTTCTCTCGTCCATTACTCCATGCTGTCCGAATACAAACAAACATGACGTCCCTCACACCTCGGGAAGAAGAGACCATCACCACCACAAGCAACAGCCATTCACACGGGAAGAACACACACAAAATACAGACGCGCCATGTAAACTCCTCTTGAATCAAAAAGAAATATCCTAAGACATATGACAACATTAAGAGCGATCGCACAGGATTTTCTTTTTTTGCTACAAAGTTTATACAATTTCTAATTGTTCAGCAGATTTTTCAAACGTACGTGTAACGACAAAAACACATCGCAGATCAGACCGGATGGGAAGGGTGAGCGAAGTATTTGATTCATGATGTACTTCAAGAGATAAACATACTCACAGACTGCACATGAACGAGGTGAGGACACACACACAGACATCACTTCCACGGACTTAATAGATACATCAAAAGAGGACGCCACAGCAGGTGCATCTGTAGATCCTAAAGTGACCTTTGACCCGACCGTTTACCCTGCTCTCTGAAGAAACACCTCCATTAACCGAAAGAGGTCACAATGCAGAGGCGACCGCAGAACCAGTGGTCATGGTGGAAATGGACAGTGATAATTCTTTCACCGTCAGGCTTTTAAAAGAGTCCTTTGGCTTTTTTGAGGTTCACTTGCTTCCATCCAGGCAGAAGGTCAAACTCTTCTCTCTTCATGTCTAACACTCTCTGAGAACACAGACGACATTACAATGAGGGAAGGGAGAGAAACACACTGCCATATAAATATAAATACACGTACCATTCAAAATTTGGGGGTGGTGGTAAGATATTACAGCAAAAACAGTAATATTATGAAACATTACTACAATTTAAAAGAACGGTCCCAAATTCAGAGTGTTGTCCCAAAAAAATCTTTTTGATGAAATCTGAGAGCTTTCGGTCCCTTTGAAGCTTCAAAAAGTTCATATTTAAAGGGATAGTTCACCCAAAAATGAAAATTCTGTCAGTATTTTACTCACCCTCATGTTGTTTCAATCCAGTGAGACCTTTGTTCATCTTCAGAACATGAATTAAGATATTTTTAATGAAATCTGAGAGCTGGATTTCAGAGCTGGTGAGTAAATACTGACAGAATTTTCATTTTTGGGTGAACTACCCCTTTAAGTTATATCATCTGCATATAATACACATTTATAATATCTGCTTTTATGATTTGAAGATGACTGAGGGGTTTGGAACGGCATGAGGGTGAGTTAATTTTTGGGATAACTATCAATGGTTGCAATTTATGAATGCTATGAAATCCAGACGACACTAAGCAGATTATAACAGAAAGTATTGTATTGAACTAAATAATTGTATATATATTTTACAAAATAATCTGCAGTCTAAAATTGCATAAATATCAAGGCCATCTGTCTACGTTGTGTTTCAAATTTGAAGTTGATCAAATTAAAAATTGAATCAACATTTTTCATGGTAACACACTGAAGACTGAAGTAATGGATGCATAGTGTCACATGATCCTTCAGAATTTATTCTAATATGCTGATTAAGCAGTTGTACTGCTTAATATTTTTCTGGGTATCATAACTAATTTTTATTAAGGATTATTTGATTAATAGAATGTTTAAAAGAACATCATTTATTTTAAAAAGAAATCTTCTGTAACATCATACAAGTATTTGCTGTCATTTTTGAGTGATGTAATGTGTCAAAAAAAAAAAAAAAAATCTTACTGACTCCAGTATTTTGAATGGTATTGTACATGTGCACAAATAATCTTAAATTTGCAGAAAAAGCATGAGAAAAGTGTTACAGCAGCACAGTGTCCTAACTAGGCTCATTGTGTTTCCAAAGTAACTTTTCTGTCCACACAAGGCAAAATGCAACATAAATCACAGTGACATGGAACATTGACATTCATTTACAGGTAAATAAAGTGGGACTTTAGACCCATTAAACTTCCCTGTGGGTGAGGCAGGGCTATCTTCTTGCTGCTTGTGCAGAAATGTAGATTACAAATGATACGCATCTAAAAATACTCTCTTATCATAGCACAATGTGCAGAGACAACTTTAAGCCAGCCAATTATGGACTGAGTGTGAGTCAGGGGCGTGGAAGAGATGATTTATTGCTTTTTTATCATGTCACGGCTAGCTAAGACACTGTGCTTTCAGAAAAAAAAATGGTCCCACTTCATATTAAGTGGCTTTAAGTACTATGTACTTACATTGAAAAATAAGTACAATGTACTTATTGTGCTCATGTTGTATTGTAAAACACTTTTGCTGCTATTGAGGTGTGATACGGGTAAGGTTAGGGACAGGTGTGGTGGTATGGGTAGGTTTAAGGGTAGGTTTAAGTATAAGGGATGGGTCAGCTGTGTAATTACAGATGTAATTACATAAATGAGTTACAGCTGTAGTTACATGCTGGTATTTTTTAAATACAAGTACAATGTAAAAACATGTATGTACACAATAAGTCCATTGTATCAAATTATTCGTTTCAATGTAAGTACATAGTACTTAAAGCCACTTAATATATAGTGGGACCAAAAAAACATTCCCAGTAATGTGTCAACTATTGCTGGGATAAAAAATAGCTTGTGAGGAAACATGTTCACATTGTGTTTGTGTGCATGCATGTGTGATTTAATGTGGGTGTCAAAGAGCTGTCCTGGATTCAGCAGGACAAGAAGAGTAAGACACAGGGAGGAAGACCAAGCATAAAAGTGAGGCTGTCAGGAAGTGGTACCGGAGTAGTTAGCATAGAAACTATTGATCCCTGTGACAGTCAATTTCAGAGATACTTACCGATTCGGCATTCCCTACTTCCCCGCCTAAAACGGCAAAACATTCCATTCTTAGTGTCTAGTCATGTCATACTTTGAGCAAGCCAATCAGAGGCTGAGCAACCTACTCAACCAATAGAATTTAAAGGATAAAAAGAACTGAAAAATCTATATATCTACTAAAAACTGGTTTATCTTGTGAGAATATATTATTTTAGGGTTTACCTAATTGGTTAATTGGTAATTTGTAATTTTTCCCCCCATATTGAATTACGGTGATTTGAATTTTGGATAGTTTTTGTTACTTTATTACAGTGTTTGAAAATTTAGATTGTTTGTTGGTTATATTTATTATCTATCTATCTATCTATCTATCTATCTATCTATCTATCTATCTATCTATCTATCTATCTATCTATCTATCTATCTATCTATCTATCTATCTATCTATCTATCTATCTATCTATCTATATATCTATCAATCTATCTATGTAACAATCTATCTATGTATATATCTATATATCTATCTATCCATCTATCCATCTATATGTATCTATGCATCTATCTATCTATCTATGTAACAATCTATGCATCTATCTATATATCTATCTATCTATCTATCTATCTATCTATCTATCTATCTATCTATCTATCTATGTATGTATGTCTCTATGTATGTATCTATCTATTTATCTATGTATGTATCTGTCTATGTATGTATGTTTCTATGCATCTACCCATCTATGCATCTATGTTTCTATGTATCTATCTATCTATCTATCTATCTATCTATCTATCTATCTATCTATCTATCTATCTATCTATCTATCTATCTATCTATCTATCTATCTATCTATCTATCTATCTATCTATCTATGTATGTATGTATGTATGCATCTATCTATCTATCTATCTATCTATCCATCCATCCATCCATCCATCCATCCATCCATCCATCCATCCATCCATCCATCCATCCATCCATCCATCCATCCATCCATCCATCCATCCATCCATCCATCCATCCGTATGTATGCATGTATGTCTGTATATGAAAATATTATACTGGAACGTAAACTTATTTATATCTATTTTATATTTTTTACACAAATCCCAGGCTGTAAATCACACACTGTACAGGCAATCTCTCTCATAGTTGTGTACGGCCTTACCTCAAAGTCCTCATCGGTCAGATACATCTCGATTCTCAGAGGGTCGACGCCGTGGGGAAGGGGACGGGTTAGCAGCGTTTCTAGAGGATAAGTGCTCTGACAGAGTCGAGCCAAAACATCCTCCACTAAAATGATCTGGTTACACACCTCTGCCTCCTACACACACAGAGACACACAAACACACAATATAAATGTCATTACGGTCACACAATTTCAGATTTTTTTTTCAGAAAGTCATGGGGCCTTTGTTGTTGACAATTGGGGGGAGGGAGGGACCACTTTTATGAATTATGTAATTTTCCTTCCTGTCGGAACAATAACGTTATTGTAGTTCCAGTTCTACTGAAGTTACTTCACCTCACTTGCACAAAAACACATTCAGTACTTCTCAAAATGAATGAGAAGTGTAAAATGCAAACTCAGAACATTAAGCAAATCTGCAAAAACTAAATATGTTAAATAATAAAAATACACTTTATGTATTTAATCTCACTTTATTAACCAATGTCTTTGCTGCTGATCTTTCACAATCCAGCTGTTGTTTTTAGTTTCTTGCTGGACCGTTGAACTTTCTTCTCCTGTGGCTTTAATTTTGTCTAAAACTGAGAAAGGCAGTACAGCTGAAATGTTTAGTTGAGCTATGCTCTTTACTGTGTGTGTACAGGCATGGATTTGCATTTCCTTTTGCATTTGTACTTTTGGTGTGAAAGGGCCTTGACATTTGCCAAAAACAAATCTTTTCATTAGATTTTTTTGTTGTTAATGAAAAAAAAAAACCTAAAACAAGGAAAACCAGACAAAGTGATAAAAACTAAGTGTTGATAATTCATCACAAAAAGTATTGTAATGCATTACTTTACATAAAAAGTACAAATTGGTTACTTTTTTTTTAAAAAGAAGAAACTCATTACCGGTACTTTAAAAAGTAACTTTTGCCCAACATTGTCTATAGGCGCTTTTCCACTGCATAGTACGGTACGGTTCGTACCGGCGCGGAACAGTTCGGCTCGCATTGCGTTTCCACTGCAGTAGTACCCCTTCAAAGTGTGTGGGACTGATCGTTATTTGCGTGCGCCTCTACTGCCATGACATCATCTTAAAAGCGCCACATTTTCAAACCCACAACACAGCAACAATGGAGACTATCGAGGGGATGGTGTTCCTGATTCTCGGTATGTGGTTGTTTTTAACTGCTAGACGGAAAAATGTGTTTAAAATGAGGCTGATGGCAGCAAAACAAAAATACTGCTAGAAAAGTCACACGTCACATTTTAGTACCGGTACGGTACGCTTGGAACCTCAACAGACCAGGTACCATTTAAAGCGACCTGAAGCGAACCGTACTGTACCGTACCATGCAGTGGAAAAGCACCACAAGTGAGCCGTACCGAACCGAACCGTACCGTACTATGCAGTGGAAAAGCGCCATATGAAGCCTAAAACTGTCTAGTTAGAAAGCTTACCATGGTTTGGAGAAGACCTAAAGAAATACAGAGACACAACACACATCGAGTGCCTCACCCTCTCTGTGATTTCAGCGATATCCTCCCTGTGCTCCCAGTTGGGGAACATGTTTGTGAAGGTCAGAGGCTCCAGTCCAGCATGAATCAGGTACGACTTCTGAGGCTTCTTCTCGTTCTTCTCTGCTAGACAAGAAGAGGGATCAGATATCGGTGTATCTGTGTATGTAGATATCATAGCATAAATGGAACAGGAACTGCATCTGAACTGCATCATTACAAGGTGCTTGTTTAGATACACGCCTTGCAAAAAAAAGGCTGTCAATCACCTCTGCAGTACTGCAACACTGTTTCCATAGCACATTTCCTGTCTGAGTCCCAGCGGATGCGGGCAGAGCCGGTACTCTCTGCATCCTGAGGCCACCAGCCTTGCCACAGGTAGACTTCATGATAGTTATCGACTAGGAACAGAGCTAGAAACAGACGGAGAGAGGAAAACATGCATCGTTTTTTATGACTCATTGTTTCCTGTCTGAGATAAAATAGCTCAAGTGTATCATATCTTTTTTTTACCTGGTTGTGGGGCAGAGTACAGATCCTCCTGTAGGAACGGCAGGGAACAAACAAGGTCTGCAGCTCTGGATGGGTTGAAGAACTCCTGCGCCACAAACTCACCCGAAGAACTACTGAGCTGGAACAGACGCGGCGTGAAGTTAAACTTGCCAGGGTCTACAAAAAGAGAGAAAGATAAAAATAAAAACACAGAAAAAGCTCTTTTTTTGAAGCGGAAAGTTGTCCATGTCTTATGATGTAAATTTGCATTATGACTCGTGAACATATGTAAGGCCATTTCCACCAAATAAGAAGAAAAATATGCTTTGTAAATTGTAATGAAAAAAAAAATAAAATAAAAAAAAATCACAATTATGAGATGTAATTTTTTTGGTCAATTTCGATATTTCATAATTGTGACTTTACATCTGAACTTAATTATTAAAGTATTTTCTTCTTATGCGGTGGAAACACGCTTCCATATGAACATGTTATGATGGAGGCAGATTATTTTTGGCGTGATTTTACCTTGCAGCATGCAGTCGTAGGCCTTACGGTCCTTCCTGCCTAATGCTTCCCAGAATTCCACTGGCTCGCCACCTTCCTCACATTCATGAATGGTCACATTACAGCTGCTGTGAAGTCCAGCCTCCAGCGGTCGTCTTGGAAACACAAATATGAGTCAGATTTCAATCAAAAAAACTTTCTGAAATGGAAAATATGACATCAAGAACACATTATATCATTGGTTAATAGATTTAATATGCACCACTGTTAGGGGTCAGTAAGATATTTTAATAGTTTATAATACTCTTATACTCATTTATTTGACCAAAATTGAAGTAAAAATAGCAATATTGTGACACATTAGTGAAAACATTTTAAAATGTAATTTATTCTTGTGATGGCAAAGCTGAAATTTCAGCATCATTACTCTAGTCCTCATCACATGATCCTTCAGAAATAGATTTGCTCAAGAAAAATTTCTTGATTATTAAGCTAATATTGAGCAGTGCAACTGTGTTTAACAATGATAATAATAAGTTATAATCATTTTTAAACACATTTGCACCGCTTAATATTTATCCGGAAACCGTGATGCATTCTTTCCCGGGATTCTTTGGTGAGTAAATGACAGCATTTATTTGAAATAGAAAACTATAAATGTCTATACTGTGACTTTTGAACAATTTAATGCTTCCTTGTTCATGTGTTGTGTATATCTAATGATTTTGTGTGTGAAATACTTACAGTTCTTTAATCTTGTCTGCGGCGGTCCGAGCTACATGCCGTGTGTGTGTTTGTGTTTTGCAGCCATGCCACAGGTAAATGAAGGCTCTGTTGATGTTCAGAAGGACCAATGAGGAGCGAGATCGCAAACTGCTGCAGTGACACGCCACTTCCAACAGGTGGCCCTCAACGGGTATCTCACCACGCACACAGTACAGACGCCAATCATCTAAAACAAGGTCGAACAGTCAAATATTAAATGAATATGCTGGTGTTCTGCTTGCACAGTATACCATGTTTAATAATAATAGTACTTGAATGGACAAAGATTACTGGTAACACTTTACAATAAGGTTCATTAGTTAACATAATGAACAGCACTTATACAGCATTTATTAATCTTTGTAAACGTTAATTTCAATATTTACTAATACTTTATTAAAATCTTGTTAACATTAGTTAATGCGCTGTGAACTAACATGAACAAACAATGAACAGCTTTATTATCATTAACTAACATCAACGAAGATTAACAAATACTGTAACAAATGTATTGCTCATGGTTAGTTCATGTTAGTTAATACATTAACTAATGTTAAATAATGAACCTTATTGTAAAGTGTTACCAGATTACTATATTGTTCTCCCATGAGAGGAAAAAATATGGCTGTTTTTTCTGACTGTTTTTACATTTTTAATCCAATATTGTGTAAAAACATTGACAGTTTGAATAAATGAGGAATCAAAAAAAAAGATAACAATTGCTTCTGTGTCACACATGACGTGGGGAAAGGGAAGGTCAAGACAAGTGCACTACATTGCTTTACTATGTACCGTAAGTACCAGTGTTGTAGTACTCGAGACTCGGACTCGTCTCGGACTCGGTCTCGAGACCATATTTTAATGGTCTTGGTCTTGTCATGGACTCGTGTGCATTTGGACTCGGAATTGACTCGTACTCGAACATTTTTTTTTTTAGGACTCGGACTTATTCCTGAGTCCACTCGAGTTCAATTCAAAATATTTTTCATGATTATTAATGTATGTTAATAAAATATTTCTTTAAATTGATTGACACGCCCAGTGATTGGCGATTTTCTAGTGCGCAACTGCGCATGACAAATTGTAATAAAATTACTTTTAACACCACCTACTATGTGGCCGTTTTACCCTAAACTGATCATATTTTTTAAACTCTAAGTAAATTCAGTAAAAAAAAAAGGATTTCTCTAAGTAAATAAAAGTAAATTAGGTAATCAACCCCCACTGGTCTCGGTCTCGACTCGGACTCGACCGTCTCTGGTCTCGGACTCGACTCGGACTCGACTCTCTATGGACTCGGTCTTGACTCGGACTCGATTCTCTCTGGTCTCGGTCTTGAGTGAGGTGGTCTCGACTACAACACTGGTAAGTACTATGGAAATCCATGAATACAATAAATGATGAGAATGCATAATGTATAATACTTCTACAAAAATATTAGGCAGTCTGCCAATCCTAAAATCCCCTAAAACTCTTACTCTGAATGTTCTCCTCTTCTTCTTCTCTCTTCCCAGAATGCACGGTCATCCCCCCATTGAAACACTGCAGGAAACAGGGCGGCTCCTTCCCCTGCTGGACCTGCATCTGAAAACGAATCACAGCAGCAGTGAGCGAGAGAAAGAGAGGAGCAGAAAGCGGTCAACCGCGTTTAGTCCAGCATCTCGTCCTACCTGTGCTCCTCTCTCTTCGTCCAGTTCAACAGTCATGAGTGCAGATGTTCCTTTCTCACTGACCGTGGAGTTTCTGCCCTGCCAGAAGAAATAGCAGCACTTCTCCCTGCCGGGACCTGCACTGCGCACCTGATCCGGCTTCTGCCTGCTGCCCACTGCACACACGCACACATTAGAGAAGAGCACTGACATTTTTATACCAGTACATTAGTTTAAAGGAGGTGCATTCTATACTTCAAAAGTAAAAATGGTGCACAACAGCATAATAAAAGATAATCTGATATCTTATATAATTATAATAATCATATATAGTGTGTCAAATAAGTTTTTTGTGATTAACTTTTTATTCTGATTTAAAATATACAGATCAATATTTTATATACAGGTATACAGCATGGCCAAAAAAGTCGCTGTTTGTGTTTAAATGCTTAAGATTCTATGATTAGATTATTATTGCAGTGATTATTATGTTCTTGGCATGTTAAATGTTTGGCAGCAGTTCTTCTAACCTTAATAGAAGGAGTGTGTCGCTTTTAATTTCTTAAACAACCATGCACTGTAAAAAAAAAATATTTTCAAGATTTGTTATCACAATATTTTTTATAAATAATTTATTTAGTTCCGATAACTTATTATTTTGAGTTTCTGATTAAATCAATCTCCTTCATTGTATTAACTCACTTTTTCCAGTTCAATTAACTTAAAATTAAGGCAACCAGGTTACTTACTTTTTTAAGTTAAACTAACCACATTTTTTTTACAGTGTGTAAGGAAGACACATCATGGCAATATTCCAGGATGACAATGTCAAGAGTCATCAGGGTTAAAATTGTGAAAGAATGGGGAGGAGCGTGAAACATAATTTTCACACATGAAATGGCTCCACTGAGTCCAGACTTTAAATTCATCGAAAGTCTTTGGGATGTGCTGGAGGAGACTTTACAGAGTGCTGGACTCTCGCATTGTCAATACAAGGTCTGGACCAAGCACATCTTGAAGCCAGAGGCGGCTGGTGAAAATTATTGTAGGGGGGGCTGAATAAGAGGGGGGTCTTGGGGTTCCCCCCCAGAAAATTTTGAATTTAGTAGATGTGATTTCCTGCATTCTGGTGCATTTTAGGCCTTAGGCCATGCCCTTACCTATACCAATAAAATAACTTAAACCAGTCAATACCAATGGTCAAATAATACAATAATAATAATAACAGTTTGACAGTTAATGATAATGAACAAGTTGCATGTTTATTATGCTCTGTGTGCTGACAGAAAAAGTGCAAACGCATAATATTGATAAATTATAATATAGGTAATACAAAAAAAAAAAAAAAAAAATAGGTAATACAACAATCTAGTTTAATCAATCCCCAGCTGTAGACTACATATTTTTGACAAATTGACAATTGGATAATGGATAACAATGTGTTGATACTAGAGAAAGAGAGAGAGAAAAGGCTCTGAAAGAGAGGGTGGGACAACGTTCTTGATTGTAACACCCAAGTATGAGAAGAAAGTTGATTTTAACTAGTATGAAACACAGTAATCTAGCTCAGAACTCCTTGTAGGCCAGAAACGAGACTTCCTTAGATTTCCACGACGCATGCGCGAGAATTGCGATCTGAAGTAGTGTAAGCTGGTGTAAGCAGATCGCAATTCTCGCGCATGCGTCGTGGAAATCTAAGGAAGTCTCGTTCTGGCCTACAAGGAAGAAAAGAAATAGTCGAATAAACTCGTTATTTTTGTTTGTTTTTTCGCACAAAAAGTATTCACGTCGCTTGATAAACATATAGTTGAGCCACGGTAGTCACTTGGGATATTTAAACATTTTCTTCATTGACTTTCTGGGCCGTCAAGAGGCAGTCCCTTAGGAGCCAATGTGGTAGTTATACAGCTCTCAAATTTAATCAAAAATATCTTCATTTGTGTTCCGAAGACGAACGAAGGTCTTACGGGGTTGGTACAGCACGGGGGTGAGTAATTAATGACTTAATTTTCATTTTTGGGTGAACTAACCCTTTAAATCAGTAAAACTGTAAATGCTATTGGCTAATCGTGCCGGCGACGAGGGCCGGTGGTCTACGAAATTTCCCGGTAGATTTTTTGCTCCCACTCCGCCCCTGTCTTGAAGGAAATAAAGGTTGTGATGTAAAGTCTGTAAAAGTCTACTCCAGCACATTTAGGAAATGAAAAACTACACACTCCATCAATTAGGGTTAGAACAAACTTGCTAGAAACATAATAATCACTGCAATAATGATCCAATCACAGACCCTTAATCATTTGCCTATTTAAATTCGGGCACCAGTGTATGTATATACATGTGCATATATTTATATATAAAGGAATAAGATTATGTAAAAGCCTAAACAGAAAGCTTATATTATGGAAAACAGGATTTTACCAAATTAAATGTTACACTTTCACTGCAGTTCTGCGGGATTCCAATAAAGCAATCAATCAACAACTTCCTATTCCAATAAGCAAAACAGCTATATTTTACAGCACAATGTACATTGACAAACACCCACAGCATTTGAATAAACACAAGAAGAGACATCCCAGCTCAGTTACTGACCTGCAGCGCTCACCATGTACTTCCATTTCACCACATACGCGTCTCCCTCGTGAAACTGGCCGATGCTCTGCTTAGGCAGTCGGCTGTAGTCGAACTCCAGGATGTGCCAGACGTCAACGGCAACCGTGCTGATCTCCAGGGACCGCAGACAGTCGTCCGAGCTGTTCTCCACTGGACCGTGTCCACGACCCACGTCCTGACCGTCCAGAATCGTGCTGATGGGCGACTGCAGGACTGGCAGCATCAGAGAGGCGCTGTACGCCTGGCATTCAGAACGAGAATCTGTGCCTGGAGACTCCTGAGATGGGCAAACAAATGGGATTGAAAGAAGAGAATCCGAATCATGTCCTGTACAGTGAGTATGAAATGATGCCTTCAGGCAGAAGGTTACCAAACTGCAGACTAAATAGGTTTAAATTTTCATTTGTACCGCTCTCTATTAAAATACTGAACTATCAACTAGGGTGTGTGGGTTAGAATTTAGGGTTAGAATCATGTCGGGTGTGACATTAATTTTTAACATTAATATAATTTGTGAATTTATGTAAATCATGTTTTGTGTGTTATGTGTTGTGTTGCATCTGTGTCTCGAATGCCAAAGACGAATTTCTCCATTAGGAGACAATAAAGGCTAATCCAATTCAATCCAATCCAGAAAGAGAAAAGCAAAAAAAAGTTGTGTTCAGATCAAAGGAATAGTTGGGAATCGCTATTTAATTCACTATAACACTAAATTATTCTTATTATTTCATTACGTTCCTAACAATTCCCATCACTATAATGATTGTCAAAGGATTTTTTCCTTTTTGTCCAGCGGATTTTTTTTTTTGCAAATACTAACACACAGCCTCCCACCTTCTGTTGGAATGGGTGTTCGATGACATTTTTAGGCGAGAGTCTAGAAACATCTCTCCAGTCCAGGAACTTCTCTTTAAAAAGACTTGTTTCATTATGTTCAGTCAGTCTGCCAAATATGGCCCAATCTGGGCGACCTTGACCTTTCCTAAAAAAAAAAGAAAAAAACACACAAATTTACACTGACTATAAAGTTCCACAAACACAAATTGTAAGATTAATTTAAGTGGATGATTAAAGGTACCATATGTAGGTAAAATATCAAAAAACCACTAGGCCAGTGTTATATATTTTGTTTAGTTGATTACTTACAATATCCCAAATGTTTCCAACTATTTGTAATTCGTGAGAAAATTGTGATTTTAACCAAGGAAACGGGGTGTGTGAGCAGGGGTGAGGAGTCAATGGCGTCATATCCGCGTTACCAGCGGTTTCCGCCAGGTTTAACCTCGTACTGCAATAGTAACCATGGCGACAGACATTGACAACTGGGTTATGCCCGTTATGCCTAGCAGGACGCTCACGGTGTTGTTGTTTTGTTCAAACATTATGGACCATAGCAAGCAGACTTGAGACAAAAAAAGGACTAAAACGAAGATCAACATCTTTCGAGATGCCTAGAGCACCACGTCCGCGATTAACTTCGAATTGACAGAGACGCGAGTGTTGCGTGTACTTTATTAGTCAAGTGAGCAAATGTACATAAAACTAATGAATGTTATTTAGCTCAACATGATGAAATGTTAGAATATGATTTGCATGTTATTCTAAAGTTGATCTAGCTTAACCGTTGCCGCTTAGTGTGATAGTGTAACTGTTAGAGCAAGTGAAACAGCGCTGCGTTACCTCACATTTAATTCGCCTAATAAACTGACCTGTGTGAGTATTAATTCAGCACTTGCGTGTACTTTGGTAGAATGAAAAGTCCTTCATACCACAGTCATGTTAAAACATCAATGTATTCACTCATCCATAAAAGATCCATCAGCTTGACGACAAGATCCATAGTTTCGCTTAATGTGGAATATACGTCATTAATATACACGTCTTTGTTATTGTATGATGTTAGCGACCCCTGGTGGTGAAAAATCCTGCATATTGTACATTTAAAGTAAATTACTTTAACTGTGTGTAGTGTACCCACCTTGGTATGAGTGTGTTGTGTCCTCCAGGGTCCAGAGGGTTGATGTCACAGTTGGTGTAATCAAAGTTCCCGTTCCAAAGGTGCTTGGCCAGCTGAAACGCCACCTTCCTCTGTGCCAGCGTGACCTCTTTACCATGCCATACGTATACTTCACTACCGAAATCAAACACTATCACCTAACAAGAAAAAGAAAGCCAAGAAAAACAAATATAGATATATACTATATATTTTTCACATTTATTTTGATGACAAATTGGTTGCTCTGAATGGGGAAAAGTCTTATTAATAAATATAACAAAACATGCAAAATAGTAATTCAAATAATGTTAATCTATTTCATATATAATACACAGTACAAAGATGTTAATACAAAATAGCCAAAATGTGAGGCAAAATATATAAAATATATTTTTATTTTTTTGAAAGCCAGTGGAAATGCATATGAAGAGTTCAGATGCAAAAGCCTCTAAATGCCATTTGAAATTTTCTTCTTTAATGATGATTTTTATCAATCTTGTATATTTAAGTTTAGTAATTTCACTTAAATAACAATTAATAGGTAAGTATCATTGCCATTTAAGTGAAATCACTGAACTTAAATATACAAACTTGATAAAAATTATCATTCTAGAAGAAAATTTCAAATGGCATTTAGAGGCTTTTGCATCTGAACTCTTCATATATTATATATATATATATATATATATATATATATATATATATATATATATAGAGGAATTTATGGCTCTCCAAAATGAGAAAAAGCTTTATTATTATTAGATAAAATAAGAGTATAAAAAAAAACTTTTGAGAATGTTCAAATCACACAATGGACCCTTTTCATAGACTGTGGTTACACATACATTTTTTTTTTAAGTATACATTTATTACACTATACCTTGTGATATTTTACCAACCTAATTTGACATCATTCTCTCTTCTGACTGCTATAATCACTCACTACACTTTTTCCCTCTTTTTAAATGTTGGAACGTCACTTCTGAAAACCGTGGAAATGTGAAATGGGTCCATTACATTAAATAAATATTGGTAAATATAAAGTTACCGCAAAATGCAAAGAATTTTAATCTATTTTATATTTATGCAAAAATAAAATAATGTATGAAGATGTTTCTACAATATTTAAAAACAAAAATACATAACATTGTTTTCTGACCTCTTTAGATCCCAATAATGTGCAACGAGGCACTTTCCCCCAGAAATCATCATCGGGAAGCAGTTTATCATCCACTAGACGGAAGATACAGTTCGTCTCCACAATGGCACTCTCGAACATCTCATCCTCGTCTGGAGACCCGGCCGCTGGAATCATTGAGGGAAAAATATTATTAATTTCAATTAAGATAATGGCACATAAATGGAATCTTTTTGATTTCAGGGTATGTACATTGGTAGCTGGCTGTTCCTCCCAGGATCTTCCAGAACTCTGCAGCTGCGGGGCTTTGGGATTTCATTCCTTCTTCAATCGTCTCCACCAGTGCTGCTCGACAACCAAGGTCATGGTTCAGCTGGATGAAAGTGGCCAGTTCTGAGGCCTAGACGTCAAGCGGTACAATACATCAGTAATGTAGAAAGCTATCTGATCGTATGAAGAATAACATGAGTAAGATGTCAGAATATAAGTCAGGATGTACCTTGGCTCTTTCAATGACATTCGCAAACTCTCCAATCCAAACAAAACAATGTTCAGGCGTAACCAGTAGAAAACAGTCACCGCTGTTCAGAGAGGACACTCTAGGCTCCACTAGTCTGGTCTGGACATGTCGTCGACCTGGGTACATGCATGTACACACACAAACAATCAAAAACTCATAATACTGCAGTAATACATTACTATAGAACTATTTATATCATAATCCATGCCTCTTGTTGGTGTTTTGCAGCATTCTTAATCAAGAGTAATGCTATTTAAGTCATTTACTAAAAGTGAAAGGCTTTCCGAAGCCAATCAGAACACGTTTAATGTTTATTGACACAGTGTTAGGGTACCACAGACTGACCTTTGACCTGCATGAGCATGAGTTTTTTGTAGGGCGCTGCGCTGTTATTGGTCATCTGCTCTGAGATGCTGACACTACGCAGACTCACACTGCTGTAGCTTTCTTTACTGGCCAGACCAGCCAGGGCTGCGTCTGACAAACTGGAGCTCTTGCTCACTGGAAAACACACGTAAAAAAACATATTATTACAACAGGAAAAAACAAACAAAATGTTTTATTAATCTTCTTATATTAAAATCACCATGAAATCAAAATTGATTACAAATTTTGTTATTAATGAATTACCCAGGCACATCATAATTTTTTTTTTCATTCATATGCGCTCATAATCATTAATATTTTTTCAAAAGCAAAATGGAAATGGCTTTTATGAGCGAATAAATGCTCCTCTTCTGCCATCTACTGGTTATAGCTTCAAATAATATCCATATCTATTTTTTGTTTTCTAAAAATGTTGGATTTCCTACATCTCGAAAAGTCCACTTTTACAAATGGGGACAATCTCAGAAGGATGAACAAATAATGTTTTTGGTTGTCGCATTTAACTAACATGATTTGAAGTGCTGGAAAAATGTTGCGCGTGCGTCTCCAATTACAGACACTGTTTGTTGGCATTAGCTTCAAGTCTTCACTGCAATAAATAAAACTGGTTTAAGTGTGATAACTGTGTTAAAATATAAATACAACATTAAAAAGTCAAGTATTGATGGTTTTATATTTATACAGCGAATGCAGAATGACAGCTAATAGAGTGCCGAAGTTACGACGTCACTCTGTAGGCCAAAACGCGGAAGTGAGTTAGCATTTTAGCACTACCGGTTCCCTCGCTCTAAAGTCTATGAGTTTTTTGAATGGGTTTTTGCTAAGTCGCCTGAAATAAGGTCTGTGGTGAACAAAGCCTTTAAATATTTTCACGTTTTGATCTATGACATAGAACACACAGTTATAACCAGACTGTGTTTTTTTTTTTACTTTATTGTGTCTGCTTGTGTTTTTTAAAAACTTTATATAGGCTTCAAAATGTATACATTTTGGATTAACTTGTAAGTATTATATTGATAGACAAAATGTGTAAGGGTCACAAGATCTTATTTTTTGCGATTTTCCAAAAGTCTATGGGGAAAATGCATAGCTTTTCGATCGAGGGAAACCGTGCGCCGCTAGCTTCCGAGTTGTCCTACAAAGCGACGTCATCACTTCGGCAATATAGTTCACTGAAAATGCCCAAGCTGGCTTATCGAAAACCAGGAAGTAACGGCTGACTGGCCGACTCACTTTTCTCCTGTTTAATTCTCTTGCTCTCCAGCTGCCCGACATTCAGTCTCTGCTCTGTGTACTCCTGACGGATGTCGTCTCTTGCAGCTAGAATCTTTAAGGGGTTCCTGGATGCCTGGACGTTACGAGAGGGACGAACAGCCCGCTTGTGCTGCACCATCGCCGATGTCAACCTGGAAGCCAAAGAGAGGCAAAAAGTCAGCCAAGTCTTTCAAATGTCAAATATTTCAATGCCTACAAGCGTATTTAAAAAAATGCTTAAAGGGGTGGTTGATTAGGATTTCACTTTTCATGTAATGTTGCTGTTTGAGCATAAACAACATCTGCAAAGTTGCAACGCTCAAAGTTCAAAGCAAACGGAGATATTTACTTTTAAAGAAATAGTTTTTTTTAAGGACTACAACAAACGGCTGGTAGGAACTACACTAGCTTCCTCCCGGGTTAGTGACATCACTAACCCTAAAATGTACATTAACCAGTCCGTTTATTTTACATCTTGTAAAAAGGGCATTATACCACCCCTTTAATGCAAAAGAAAAGATACAATATGCTTTGTAAACAAATTATAAATATATAAAATAAATAAATATAATTAATAATTTATAAAAAAGTAATTATATCATATAAATATTTTTCCAACATAAAAATAAATGTACGTGCTTGTATGTATGGCCTATTAAAGAAGGGCAAAAATTACATTGGTGCTTGTTTTCCAAAGATGGCATCAAAGTCCTCCTCCAGATGCATTCTGCTACTCATGCTGCGGGGGATATCTGTCATGTGGCAGTAAAATTTTGAAAAGACCTCATCATCCAATCGCATCACTTCCTTCACTGCCTTTTCTGTTACAGTCAGTGTCGTCTCCTGCAATCCTGACACTGAGGTGGAGGAAGGAAGGTAGAAAATGAGAGAGAGAGACAGCGTAATGGCTTCAATAAAAGGTACATTATTAGGACACTGTGACAGCAATTGAAATAATATGTCATGAAGCTACTTTTTTTAAAGACACCAAATGATTCAATAATCATTTCTACTCTGACTTCTATAATGGACTCATAACATCCTCCTGCAAAAAGGACAAGAAAATGAGCAGATATTGCATCAATCAACTTACCTTTACTGTTCAAACGCCCCAGAAACGTCTCTAGCTTTTCTAGCTTCTTATCAGACTCCATTTCTGCTCTGGCCTCAATATCTGCAGCACATCAGGGTTTTTGCCCCAGTTATTATGGCGCAACAACATTTCCAAACTCTGTGACTTTCTAAAGAGAAATATATTTTAGCGTGTGTTTGTCTAATTCACCTTCCTGTGGTTTAGAGATAGCCGACACACTGCTCTTCAGTTTAGCAGAGACTGGAGACAGAATCGGGCTGATCACTGCAGAGGAAGCGGCCAGACCTGACACACACACACACACACACACACACATAATCAGGCATTTAATAACAGCATTTTTATAATGCATTTTATGAAACATATATATATATATATATATATATATATATATATATATATATATATTTACACAGTTTCAATTTCTTTCATTTTAAATATTCTATATCCGTAAGCATGTACAGTTGTAATTGAAATGATTCAACCCCCATAGCAAATCAGGGCTATTGTCAAAATGTACAGACTTTCAGCTGTTTGCAATGAACAAATCAAACAAAAGTAATTGAAATAGCTCAACATAACAAAATATACCCACTGAAATATTTCCAATACAGCAAATGCAGCATTATGGGAAAAAAATATTTTGTATAATGATGACTAGGGTGTCTTTTCACTTAATAAAGTAAACTTTTTACATGTTTTAATCAATGTGGTTTTAAAACATTTAAAATGTTGTGACACATTCAAGGTTTTTCAGTAATTCCTTATTTGATTATTAAATGTGTTTAGTTGGTTTTAGGAAAATGAATGAAAATGTATAAGATTTTTTTTGTGTATTTTAGCATTTAATAATATTTGTAGCATTTAATAATAAAACAATACAGTATATCCGATCTATGTGTTTGCACATTCAAACCTTTTTTCACCATCCTGGCAGCCACCGTGTACTGGGTGGAGTCATTGGCCACGCCCTTCCCTGAGCTCTGCCACGCCTCCTCTCGGGTCGAGATCATCTGTTTCCTCTCTTCAATGGTCATCTTCCCCTCCCCCTCTTCAAGTTTCTGATTAGATGAGACAAAACAGATATGGCTATAGATCATCTTGATAAATTCACAGCAAGGAAAGACAACAACTTGGACATACAGGATAGGCCACATGAGCATTCGCCAGCAATTCATCAGCAAACTGTCCAAAGCACTTACAAAACGTTTGAATATTGCTATTCTCTTTTTATTTATTTATCAGTCAACAGCAAAAGCCAAAAAATGCAGTAATCCTTATTCAAAGTGTGGTGCATTTCTATCTAAATTAGATGTATGCATTTATGCTGCCAAGACTCATTTAATGAAGGCATTTGCCCTGGGAGTATGTACAGAGCTGCCCGTTTCCATCAGAGAAATATAAGGGTTTTCTACTATCAGTGAATTAAAGGATAAATTAAGCAAACTAATAATAAGGGTCCTTCATAAACTAAATGTAACCAGCCAATTTTTACCACTGATGTATTAAAGCAGAGATATGTGTTAAGTATTTTTGTGACTTTGTCCTCATACAGTAAGGAATTCAGTCAGTCAGTATGGAGGGAAGTCAGTCAGTAAGGAAGTCAGTCAGTAAGGAAGTAAGGAAGTCAGGAAGGAAGAAAGGAAGGAAGTCAGGAAGGAAGTCAGTAAGGAGGGAAGTAATCAGGAAGTAAGTCAGGAAGGAAGGAAGTCTGGAAGGTAGTCAGGAAAGAAGTCAGGAAGGAAGGAAGTAAGTCAGTAAGTCATGAAGTAAGTCAGGAAGTAAGTCTCGTAGGTAGTCATGAAGGAAGGAAGGAAGTCAGTAAGGAAGGAAGTCAGTAAGGAGGGAAGTAAGTCAGGAAGGTAGTCAGGAAGGAAGTCTGGAAGATAGTCAGGAAGGAAGTCAGGAAGTAAGTCAGGAAGGAAGTAAGTCTGGTAGGTAGTCAGGAAGGAAGCAAGGAAGGAAGTCAGTGAGGAGGGAAGTAAGTCAGGAAGGTAGTCAGGAAGGAAGTCTGGAAGTAAGTCAGGAAGGAAGTAAGTCTGGTAGGTAGTCAGGAAGGAAGTAAGGAAGGAAGTCAGTAAGGAAGGAAGTCAGTAAGGAGGGAAGTAAGTCAGGAAGGTAGTCAGGAAGGAAGTCTGGAAGATAGTCAGGAAGGAAGTCAGGAAGTAAGTCAGGAAGGAAGTAAGTCTGGTAGGTAGTCAGGAAGGAAGTAAGGAAGGAAGTCAGTGAGGAGGGAAGTAAGTCAGGAAGGAAGTACGTCAGTAAGGAAGGAAGGAAGTCTGAAAGTAAGCTGGGAAGGAAGGAAGAAGGAAGGAAGGAAGGAAGGAAAGAAAGAAAAATAAAGTTAGAATTGTGGACTTTTTTAGAGTTTTGTTAGAAATGAAATGGTTCCAAAATGCACAAGCTCTCTCTTACCTGGCCTTGATGTTCTACATATTGGCATTTTGGGGAAGATGGGAGAGGAGGAGGAGAGTAGGTGGAGGAAAAGACAGGCCCCTACAGACAGTGAATAAGGACGAAACAGGACAGAAAACAAGAGTGGAGGAAAGAGCAAGAGACAATGATTACAGGGTGTTGATAGTGAAGGAATGAGAAAATAACTCAGGTATGGCAGAGAATGAAAGAGTGGGGGAAAGCCAAATGAAAGGATGCAACACCTCTAAGTGTGGAGTGGGTCTCAACTGGTTTAGCATCAGGACACAGATTTTTGCAATCGACATCGAGTGGCAGCTAACATTGCACAATAATACGTTTTGGCACTTTCTAAGAAATAAAGGGACAAAAGCTGTCACTGGGGAAGTTTCCTTTCATAAGGTACTAATATGTACCATTTAAGGGCAATATGAAATAAAAAACAATTATAATTTATGGAACAATTCAGTATTTATGAATGATTTATTCATGTGCATATTTTTTTACTAAAATTCATGTGGCCTCATGATCTTTAATCAAAATAACTTTTAGTGACATCTCTTCTCTAAAGGCGTGTTTACTGGCATGAGGGCGGGACAACCTGTCCCTCACATGAGATCAACCAATAGCAAACCACAAGGATCCAATCACCCAATCAATTCCCCATAACCACATCAAGTCCTATCCGACATTTTTTGTTTTAGAAGCGGTTTCACTTGGATACACGTCACAATATATAGGGGAGTACATTGAAAGTAAGCATTGCCGTTATTGTTTTTCTCTCTCGTTTCTTTTCTCTAGTTTTAGGCCTAATTACATCTGGCAAAGGGACAACCAATGAAAAATAAATAGCCTTCGGGCTAATTTGGGTACATTTAAATTCATGAATGTTGATTAATGCACACAACAAAATGTTTACTTTTTGGGTGACAACCAAGTGACTATTTTTGTACCTTTTTTTCTGAGAGTGTACAAAGGTAAACAAAAATCGAAAACTGAACCACATAGGCCTAAAAATACAGCAAATTATTAACATGATATTCTACACAGACCATTTTGGTTTCTATATATAATAAAGGTTTCATGTTCTTGGTCAGCTAGTCCATCTATAACAGCAATGTGTTTCATCCTAAAACATCCTTGGATTTGATTTGGACACACATCAAGACAAACAAGAGAAGCAAAATGTCTATAATGGCAGTATAGAGTCGTTCATAATGTTAGGTGAAATTATTACAGCATGTTCCTAACATTTCAACAGCAGTAACATTTTAGAGAGAAGCAAATATTCATTTATTATGGCCACCAGAAAACAATCTAAAAGATAACACTTTACATTAGTTAATGCATTAGATACAGTAACATGAACTAGCAAAAAGCTATTTTTTTTTACAACATGTATTTATCTTTGCTAATAAAAATACAATTGTTAATTGTTCATGTTAACCATGTATTATATTTAAATTTAACAAAGATTAATATGCAGAAGTTATTGTTTGCTGTTAGTTCGTGTTAACTAACAGAGTTAACTCATGTGAACAAATGAGACTTTATTGTAAGGGTTACCAAGTGAAATAAGATTCATTTGGAAGATATAGCAAGCAGTGCGTCAGTCCTTAAGAAACAGCCAATCAAATTGCAGTTTGCACTAGCAGGTCAGCCAATCATCTTGCAGCTAAAGCCACAATTTCTTAGGACAGCTATTGATGCTGGTGCTTACCCAAAGCTGCTCAGATGATGTGAATTCACTGATAACAGTCTTGTCCTAAACACACAGGAGATGCATTTGTGTGTGTGTGTGTGAGGGACAAATAGCTAATACTAGAAAAAAGCTGTTTGATGTGAAAGACTTGGCATTTATCTTTGGGTAAACTGAACAGGGTTTACTTTAACCTTTGCACTTGCTGAACTGCGAGAATCACAATAACTCAGGAATGCACATAAAACTCAGTGAACGCCACGCTGTGAAATGACTCATCAGACTGGGCAGTCAATTCACAGCTTTGCCAGCGACAATAAATGAATGCGTTACTACTCACAAATTAAAATAACACATCAGATTCACAGTTTGGATTAGGAATAGTATACAGAACAGTGGTAGGGATATATGGCAGCATATATAGTGAAAAGAGAAGCGGGCTTAAAATGGACCCTTGGGGCACACCACAAAGTAGGGGAACAGATACAGAAGTAAATTTACCCAAATTTACTGTGAATAGGGTTGGGTATCGAGAATCGAGTATCGATTGGAACCGGGACTAACTTTTCATTTTTCCCGGAATCGTTCAAAAGTCAAAATTTCAATTCCTAGTTTCGATATTCACAGTTCGCCGAGCGGAAGAAGAAACGAAGAAGCGTCTACCGGAAGTGTTGGCATAACCGCGCGAGTCGAACATGCTTACGTCGGCGGTCCAAAGTGTGGCTTCACTTTTCTAAAAAATAACGAAATCTCGGCAAAATGCAAAATTTGTGACAAAAGGAGTATTTCCTTCAGAAAGACCGTTGGTTAGCAAGGTTAGCTAAACTTTTTTGACCCTGCTTCTTAAAAGAATCGGAATCGAGAATCGTTAGGAACCGGAATCGAAACAAGGAATCGGAATCAGAATCGTTCAAATTCAAACGATACCCAACCCTAACTGTGAAGGATCTGTTTTTGAGATGCGTACGAGGCCAACCACTGTAAGGCCGCACTCTGAATGCCCAGCACTTTTTCCAACCGATGCAACAGGATACTATGGTCGATAGTATCAAAAGCGGAGCTTAAATCTAGTAGGATCTGGTCAGACCAAAATGCTAATCATATAAATTACCGTTATGTGTCCGACACTGTAGAGAGCGATACATAAAATGCATTACCATTCTGATGCATTGACTTGTAGATGAGCCTGTATAATTCACTCTTCAGTCAGTTACTGGTTATGGCTATATGACTAATCTAAACCAATATTTCCACGTTTAATACAGTTGACTGAGTGGATCAGGTAGTCCAAACTGGTGTGATGGAGTGGAGACGGGGACTAATTTGCATATTCATGGAATATATAAACTGTGATGAGTTTCCATATTTGATTTCGATCAATATTAGATCATATTCTTACCTTTTTCTTAAAGCCTTGCTCCTCCACTATTTCACTTGTCTTCTCGCTTACAGACGCCACTTCCTGTATAGCCTCCTGTTTCTTGTTGATCCTGTTTTTCCAATCATCCTCTCCACTCTTCTTCAACATGGCTAACCTGAGAAAGAAAAGTGTCAAACGCTTCAGTCCATCTTGAACATCGTAGAGGCAAAAATCATGCAGATATACTGTATAAAATGCAAGAAATGACTATTAAATAAGAAACTATGGAGATGTTGGTAGTTAAAACTCATTCAGAAAATCACACCACATACCACAGCATTCAAAATTCTTCACAATTCGGCTTTCTCATACTACTTCGTCATGGTTCGATGTCTCTCTCTCTGTCTATACTCATTTTATCCTGCCCTGTGGGGAAAGCTGGAGTACTAAAATAGTGCCGTCCGCATTATCAGCCCTTGCGGAGAGCAGAGATGACCCAATTTCATTTATAAGACAAGACAGAAGGAGAACAGCTCCAGTCACCCTGAAACATCTCCAGCCATGTGCCATTGTTTCTTACAACGCAATATGCTATGATGAGTGTGCTTTTAACATGCTATTATTATCCTGACACATAGAAATATTGCTTTCTAGCATAAAATAATTATATACACACACACACACACACACACACAACAGAACAGTAAGATTATATTTTTTATAGAAATTAATACTTTCTATTCAACAAGGAGACATTAAATTTGACAGTAAATACACTTATAATGGTACAAAAGATTTCCATTTAAAATGATTCCTTCCGATTCATTAAAGAATCTTAAAAAAGCTTCACGGTTTGCACCAAAATATGAGACCGCACAACTGTTCAGCTCAACATTGATAATAATAATAATTCTTATTAAAATTCAGGTTTCTGAAGGATCATGTGACACTAAAGAATGGAGTGATGATGGTGAAAATTTAGATTTGTCATCACACAAATAAATGATATGTCTGTAACCCTGCCAGACATCCCACCTCTCCCGCCGGAATGAGTCTCCCACATATTAATAGCGGCTGGAAATTATATACAATAACCCGGAAATAGAGCATCACAGTCCCGCCCACAGCCCGAGAAAGCGTTGTTGCCGAAAGTAAATTTCCCATTCGTTTCTCCCATTGACATTTTGTAAAATCGATGTCTAAAGAGTTTTAGAGCATGTCTGAGGAAAACAAGCAACGGCTGAACTCATAAGCATACAACATATCATTTCGAGTGAAAAAACAAAGAGAAAATCCAAAAAAAAAAGTCAAGGGTACAAGCTTGTGTACATATTATCATTTTCGAGCAAAAGAACTACTCCTCCCATAAACCACCGCGCCTCACTAAAGTCGACTGAAGCCACCGTGAAAGAGCCTTTTGAGTGACTTCCAAATCTGACGAGGGCCACGTGAACTTTTTCCTCCAGTGAATTTTATATAGTGAATATAATGAATTTACTGAAGCTTACATGTAAAACGCAGCTGCACATGCTAAAACATTGAGCATCTGGCTCGCTCATAGGCTGTGCTGCACATCCAATGGCTCGGGGGCATCTCAGAGGTGCGACCAATGAACTTAGCCCTACGTCATTACACGATATTCAGTCTGTCACGTACCTTCGTGGGGGTTTCAGACACGTTACACGACTTCCACCAATCAGATGCATCACTGTGGGATTGTTCAGGATTGTGGGTAATGAAGTACTTTTCCAATACATCACGAATAAAAGGCATTTATCTTAAAACAAGGTTAGTGCCCCATGAACTTTTGGCGTTCATATGAGCATATACAATCGCTTAGTACAGCCGTAGCTGGTTTTAAGTCTACCATATGGTTACGTTTTAATGGCTTATATCCCAACTGTCAATGGAGAAATTGTATTTTTACTTCTGGCACCGGCTGTGGGCGGGACTGTGATGCTCTAGAGTAATAAAGCCAGTTTCCACCTGGTTAAGATGCATTTTCGGTCAACCAATCACAAGCCATCAGGAAAGACACACCTGGTGTTATCACAAGTTTCAAATCCGACCATTTCGGATTTTGTAGAGACTCTCGCCTCTTTTTCGTCACACTCAACTACATCACTTTTGCCGCATCAATACTATTGAATGAACGAACCTGTGTTAGGCGGCTTACGTGAATGAATATAATAGTATCATTTTTATATTGTGGTGGTGGTGGGGATTGTGCCATCTCCCGGGAATGAGTTTATGCAGGGTGGGATGTCACAGCTAATGTACAAGTGAAGTAGCCAACACACCTTTCCTTGATTGACATAGATGTCATGGCCTCTGGATCTTCGTGAACCTCTGGCTGCTGGTCTTTGGAGACGATGGGTGCAGATGGGCCGTATTTTCCCAGGATCTCCTCCTGGGGTTTTGTTTGAGGTGGTATGAAGCACTGGGGTTTTGGCTGGGTTTGAGGGGGTATCTTGGGTTGAGAGGGAATGTAGGCATGCGACTGAGGAGGAAGGAAGGATTGTGGTTTTGGCTGTGTCTGTGGTGGGACTCTGGGTTGTGTCTGCTGTTGGGGTTCAGAGGACACCTGAGTCTGCCGTGGAGGAGCCCGAGAGTCAATGTGGGCGTGAGGTTGAAAGTCAGAGATGAAGTGTGTTTGTAGTTTGGCCTGTGTCTGTGGCGGGTTGTAGGGTTGTGTTTGGGGTCGGGTGAGTGTCGGTGTGTAAACTTGAGGGTGCTGCACTGGTTTTGGTTGATGTTGTGGAGGAGTGTAGGACTGGGTTTGCTGGAGGTAAGTGAGCGAGTGTGAGGTGTGTGATGAAATTCTGGAGGAGACCGCAGCAGTGCTCACCGCCCTCCCGGGAACGCTGGGATCAGGGACATCTGGAGAAACACATTGAGTCTAGCATGAGACCAAATACACACACACAAAATGGTAGGGGTTGATTGAAATGGTAGGGATTCATAAAATTGACCCTGTAACCAAAGGTTTTATATCAGTGTGAATTAATCAAAACTTAAGCAAAGTTCACACTACAGGATTTAAAGCCCGATTTATGCGAAAATCGTTGAGCTCGCCGACAGGTCAGGGTGCTATCGCGTGCAAATCGCGGGGGATTAGCGGACGATGAACGCTTGCCAATCTGTTAGTATGAAAGACCCAACAACGCAGCGAAAACGCTCGCAGACGCGCCGCCGAGCCCAGAAAAATATCTAGCATGCTAGACATCCAGAGCCGTCACGCAACTCAACCTCAGTGATGTCATGAGTACAGCCAATCATAGCAACGCATGGGTTGAGGACACCAGGTATATGTTAGTTTTTCTTTTTTTGCATTTTTTTCAGAGCAGATCGTCGCGCAAACAGTGTGCAGCACTAGTTTCTGTCTGACGTCCATATTCGTGTGTAGTGTTCTCTTCTTTGCTGGGTATTGGCGCACGTGCTGTTTCGCGTCATTTCTGGTTCGTTTTATTGCTGGTTTTTCGTGACAAAACGTGGTTTGTAGACAAGACAGAATCGTTGGGTGACAGAGTTGTTGACAACTCGTTATTTATTTGATTATTTTCAGGATTTAGACCGTACCATAGTACTGAAACAGCTCTCATTGAGTCACAAATGATTTGCTCTTATCATCCGATCGTGGTTGTATCTCTATGTAGTGCGTTGTCAACTCGTGTAGTGAGTTACCTCCTGTTGTGGATCGATCACGTTGTGTTGTGTGGTGTGAACAGCTAAACAACTTGACCACTCCTGATTTCACTGAGAGCAAGTCATGTAGTGTGAACCGCAGTTCAGCCCGACGTTTTAAAATCATGTAGTGTGAACAAGGCATTACTAACTTACCGACTTCAATATTTTGTACTTTAATGCAGTAAAAAAGAGAATCTAATTCAAATTATTAATGGGGGAAAAAAATAAATTTGAAAACAAAATGATATATATATATATATATATATATATATATATATATATGAAGAGTTCAGATGCAAAAGCCTCTAAATGCCATTTGAAATTTTCTTCTTTAATGATGATTTTTATGAAACTTGTATATTTAAGTTCAGTAATTTTACTTAAATAACAATTAATAGGTAATTATCATTGCCATTTAAGTGATATCACTGAACTTAAATATACAAGCTTGATAAAAATGATAATTTTAGAAGAAAATTTAAAAATGGCACTTAGAGGCTTTTGCATCTGAACTCTTCATATATATATATATATATATATATATATATATATATATATACATAATTTTTAATGGCGAGGGATGTGAAATTATGAACTGAACATGACACTTTTCAGCATTCAGGAGATTGAACCTATAACCAGAAGCATTAATCAAAATATACATGTATAACACCCAATCAAGCAGCCAACAGTATTATACCATGCAAATGTGTATATCCATCCAGTTAAGAATACATAAATATGTGTCTAGCCATAGCTATTCAACGCACCAGATACAGAAAAGAAAACTTCATACATAAAACCTAGAAACTGCATTGCACATCAGCTTACACACACACACACATACTCTCATGTTTATCATAAGGCTCACTCATTACCTGACACACATGAACAGACAAGCACCACTGCCACACACAAACGCAAAAAAAAAGCATGTTAAAAATATCCTTTATCCTGTGTCTCATTCTGCTGTCATGGCTGTCCTTTAACATGTGGCAGACATGAACCTGATAACCTCCTGTGGGATGACAACATGTCTGTATCAATGTGGGAACACTGCCAACCCTCTTTACCGCTCCAGTCTTTCATTCATCTCCCTCTTTACTACAAAATTCACACATACACGCCTCTCGCTTCCAGACGAATGGATAGTAACAGCTTTTGGCTGGGGACGCAAACAAAAGCCACGGAGGGGAGCATCACTCCACTTTGCCTTCTGCCCGATTCATTTCGGCATCATTAGTTTTGCACGGCTCAGACAAAGAGAGCCACGCGCTTGATGTATGATAAATTATGCTAATCACATTCGACTCGAGCAGCGTGTTGGCTGGGAACCCAGTTAACCCGATCAGAGGCCGGCTGCATCTTGCAGACGTGCATCATGCATGTAAAAACAATAGACACATCTGAGAGGTTTTAAAATACTTTTCTTTGTTGTTCTATCTAACCTTACCTGAGATGACAGCTCTGGTGCCGCTTCCTCTTGCCGTCTGATGATTGTCTGGTGAAAGGTAGCCTCCCTGCGAGACGGGTGTGCTTTCTTTTTCCCTCTCTCGCGGGCCGCTCAGCTCTGCATCTCCCCTGCCGTGAGGGGGTGTGTGTCTGGGAGCATGTGTGTGAGGAGGGGAAGTCGCACTGAGGAGCTCTGTCTCTCTCTCCGAGTACCCAAGTCTTCCCCTCCGCCCACTTTCGTCCTGCCTCTGGCCATTGGCTGAAATCAGCGTGGCCCCACCCTTGCTGTATCCTGATTGGCCGGGCTGCACTGCGGGGGGCGGAGACTGAACATCAGGAGTGGGATTTTCCCCACTCTCTGTAAGACTGAAGTATCGAACTCCTCTCTCATAGGCCGGTAGCTGAGTCTGATTGGGCGAGGCCTGAGTGGAGGGCGGAGCTGTGGACATTCCCATGTGAACATCTGCGGTCATTGATGGGGAAGCGCTTGTCACCATGGCAACAGAGGCCTGGGCGGTGACCGCAGTAACAGAGCGGACCAGTGATGCAGAGAGAGGCTCCAACTTCACGCTTCCATTTTGCAGCTGGAGAGAAAGAAGGAATAGTTGTATTTTCAGATGACTTTTTAAATGGCGTTCACATTTACAGACCCCAGAGAGGTCAGAGGTCATATGCAGGAAACACAGGCAGCTTGCAGAGATTTGCTTTGCATACCAAACAATCTGATCAGTTAACTCCTCAGACATGCAACAAACCAGAAATTGTGTTTACGTCACCATCGTCATAATCATCATCATCATCAAGGTCTGGGTGTTTACAACGCAATTGTTTTTCCGATAGCTGAATTTCTCTCATAGCAAGAACAGATTTGCTTATTTAAAGGAATAGCTCACGCCAAAAAATCTTCAATAAAAGACCATAAAAGTTGTCTATGGGTCTTGTCCATTGTGTAAAATGAAGTTCACTCTAGCATTCTTCTAAAAAGAGTACAGTACTTATTATGGAAATAATATGCTTTAAAATAATATGTGAACTAAATGTGATGTTTTTGGGCACTTAACTGCATGTTATTTGCAATTAATTATCTCAGTTAAAAAAGATTGAACTTAAGAATGCTTTTTTTGACCCATCTAAATCTTTATGTATAATTTCATGCCCATGATATGTCATCATTTCTATTTAAAACTTGTATATCATGTAATTATGCAATATTTTTAATTATTTGTACACATCTGTAATGATTTAGTACATTTAAGATGCATTACTGTAATATAAAAAACACATTACAGATCCAATAATATGTACAAGTTACTTACGGTACATGTGCTTTAGTATGTTAGTCAACACATCAAAATGTCTATTTCTTTAACGCATGACAAAGCATTTCTAAAAATGTACTTTAAAAGTTTAAAATATTAATATATATTAACTTTAAAATACTTTTTTATAGCATTATTAATTTTTTTAAAAAGTGTACTTATTCGTGTTAAGAAACAGTCATGAAACTCTTGAAGTACACTTAAGTGGCCTCTTATTTCATTAATATTATATTACCTTATCTTATTATATTACTAAAAATAAAAGTGCACATTAAAGAGAATTAAGTGCCATGGATTATCCCAATTATACCATAATCACTGGCCAGCATTGACAACTTCAAGCTCTTATTGATGTTTGCAGTGCACTATTTGACTGGAAGGACAAAAATGATGGTTATAGATCTAGCATTCTGTGCACTTTAAATCAGACACAGAGATAAAGTAGTGCGTAAGATTACATTTATTTGAATTAATAAAAATATAGCATTTATTTTATATAATTATTGAGAAAGAGAGTGAGAGATGCGTGTGTGAATTACCTGCATCTGTGCAGCATCTTTCTCTATTAACAACAAAGCTATGAGTTTAATTACTTAAAAATCAACAATGTTACCCCCTTCTTGCGGAGACACGTAAATGTAGCGATTCCGTAGTGAAGAAATTTTAATAATTAAAAATCGTGGGGCAGCATTGATAAGTTACTGTGCTCTTAAATGTATAAAGCGGTGTATGGGCTGCGCAATCTGTGTGCAAATGATGTGTGTGAGTTCAAAGAAAACTGTGAATTAATATAAAACCGTGATTAAACTGACTCGGAACTACCTGTGCATTAAACGGTTTTATTGCACACCTTCCAGCCAATCAGAGTCGAGTATTGAGACAGACCATGGTATAATTCAAATCATTAGATGCCATGTGTGAGGAAAAGACCACATTTTGCATACTGACACCCAGCCCCTGTTCTCCATTTGCTTTTGCAATATGAAGAAAAACACAACATGAACATCCTGCCAAACATCTCATTCCATATTGGGGGGGGTGGGAGTAGGCATTCAGGTTTATAATAACACGAGGTTGAGTAAACGAGAGAATGCAGTTACTAGATTAAGAAATGAAACCGCTCAAAGTCAAAGCAGGTATAATGCAACTCAGCAGTAGCAAATATCCACTTGGAAAATGCAATGTTGTCGGGGCCTCAGCAATTAACCAATCAGCAGCTGCTGCCAAGGCAAAGCTCTCACTGCTCAGCCAATCAAAAGTCTCAGTCCAGGGTCTCTTACTTGCTCGCTCTGAGGGGGACCAACAGAATCATTAGTCACAGCACGCTGATCTGTGAGACTGGACGGGTCTACGTCTTTTGTAAATTCCTGTGAATGGCACAATGTCTCTTCACTTTCAAGAGAGTATTGACTGAAGGCAATTACAACGCGAAATGATTCAGAATGAAAGACAAATTTTTCTTTTTTTAAATCTCTTTAAATCATCTCTCAAGCGAAGGCCATCATCTCTAATGCCACTAAACTGAAATAATTTCCAAATATATGCAAACACAATAAGTAATGGCCTTATAACAAAAATAACTGACTAATAATAATGCATAACCTCAGTAAACTTGGTGCATCTAGCATTGACATTTTAGACTTCACCTTTAAAGTACTCTAAGCAAAAATATCCATTTACTTAAGTGAGAGGAAAAAGGAGAGCTCACCTGATCAACCTCGCCCTGGGTAATAGGTTGGGTCTGAAAGCGGGCATTGGCCCTACGCTGGCGTGTGTCCGAGCGAGGTCCGTTTGCTGATTGGCCAGAGGATTGCGACAAACGATTGAATAATGCCATCTTCTCAGCCAGGCTTAGTGCTGATAGGTCCGGTTCATTAGACCCCAAGCCCTCTTCTCCCGCAACAGCATCCTTTGAAACGTCATCTTTCTCCTGCTCGTGGTGGGCCGATCCATGTGCTGATGATGCCTGCAAACTGGGCGGAGAATTACAGGTTGTTTATGCGATAATAAAACACTGCATACAGAGACATGGCTGCTAACAAAATGAATCATAAACAATTATGGTAACTAATTGCAATGAGCATCACAGTACTGTAACTATCCTGGTTTGTGCATTTGTTTATCCAGACCTCAGTCATTAAGCAGAGTAATATGATTTTATACATTATATACAATCAGCTGTCCATAAATGACACTCATAAAAGTTACTCTTGAAGGGATGTTTTATTATTCTGTTACGCTTCATAAAAAATAACTACTTATAAATGGTAAATGGATTGCATTTATATAGCACTTTCACAGACACAATGGCCACCAAAGTGCTTTACATTTTTGCCACACATTCACCTATTCACACACCGGCTACTTAGCTAAATAGCTGTCCATAGAAAGTAACATTAAATACTTCAATTAAAAGATGTGAAAATTGTACATAAGAAATATTGATCTCTCTCTCTCTATCAAATTGTAAAATATTTATAATTGTATTATTAATTCAATTGGATTTTTTTTAAATTATGACAATAACTAAGAGTATTATATCTATAATACTGATTTTTTATTTATCTTTTAAGCATAAACTTGACTTAATCATGTATAGTACAGTTAACTAACTAACCCTAACCCTAGTATAATAGCATTTAGATTAAAGCCAACAAATACGGACTACCAACAACAAAAGATTTATCAAAAAAGATTCAAGGGATCTGTATGTTTGTAACACTGTAACTGTACAACAGTGGCAAGAACTTAGTAAACGTACAAATATTGTAAGTTTCACCTTATTAAACACACACAAATGGAGTTCAAGTCACTGCCAAGCCATTGTTTCAATCTATACAAGGTTTTAAAACTCAAATGCATTGGTGTGTTCTTGTACTTAATTTATTTTTTTTATTTGTTTGTCCTTTGTTCTAATTTAAGGTATTCTGCCACTTTCATAAAAGTCTTCTTGACAGATGAGGCACACCTCTGACATTTAGGTGTGCATGAAGAATGCAGAATGTGTTTTGCAGCTAACCATGTGACCATTAACAGCTAATCTGGGGGACCACGCGCTGATGTAGACACCCAAAACATCTGCACATGCTCACACATTAATATACTAGGGCTGTGCAAAAATTAATTGCGATTAATCGCATCCAAAATAAAAGTCTGTGTTTACATAATATATTTGTGTGTGCTGTATATAATTATTTTGTATATATAAATTACACACACATGCATGTATATATTTAAGAAAATGTGTTATTCATATATGAAATATTGATATTTATATAATATAGATTATGTATTTTTATATATATACAGAATTTAAGCGCAAATAATTCTTAAATATATACATGCATGCATAGGTATTTATATATACAAAATAATTATATACAGCACACACAAATATATTATGTAAACACAGACTTTTATTTTGGATGCGATTAATCACAATTAACTTTTGCACAGCCCTATAATGTACTCTTACTTTTTCATAGGCACAGGCACATGCTCACATTACAAAATTGAGGAACTGCATAAACCCCTTAATTGCATGCCAGCTATTCTGTTTTCACACTAACAACAATTTACAACAGCAGCGGGTGAACGTAAAATACACCAGCAGATGGCGCACTGTCACTTAAACACTCCCACAGAGACGTTTTTGAGAATGAATTGAATAACCCAACACACCAGAATGAATGAACCATTTTTCAAGTATGGTATGAATTCTCTATTAATATGCAAACATGCTATCAAAAACATGTCTGTTAAACAATGAACAAACTAGGAAACAGCATGTAGCTGTTGAATAAAGCATTCAAAGGATACCTGAAGCTAGTCATGGAAGTGCTGACTACGGCAGGACTGGGGATTCTGGGAGCAGTGGTTTGAACGGTGATGACTTGGGAAGGGGGAGCAGGGGAACTTTAGAGGAGGACAAAACAAAAGGAATGAAGTGAACAAGAATTATTGCAAAAGAAGGGGTGTTGAAGTGGTCAGTGATGGGTATATACTGTATTTGAATTGAACAGTTCACCCACAAAGAAAAATTCTGGTTTAGAATGACATGAAGGCGAGTAAACACACAAGAATTAATAACTTTTGGCAAAACTATTTCTTTAAAACAAATGTTTTAATGATGAAAATTTGAAAGCTACTAATCCCGATCTGAATTCTGACTTGTGATGCAGCCTGAATCATAATCACACAGTGTTCATTCGTTGGCCAGAGGAGAACTGGCTTGGTTTCCGCCAAGGAAGTTGACTTGACTTATTATATTAGGTAATATTAGGTAAATCCTTTACATCACAAAAAGTATGAAATTACTTACGTAGCAGCAATGACAACTTCCTCTGACGTGACGGGCTGTGTCCGTGAACGATCCTGCACTCGTCTGAGTCTCCGCTCAACCGCAGCATTGCGTGACCGAGGTTTGGGTACACCTCCGTCTGAAGTCTTCTCCAGCTCCTGCCAGATGAGAACAGACAGACCAGGAAAGGTCACAAAGAAAAATAATGTTATGGCTATACATACGTAAGGTAATATTAAATGCATTAACTAACTAAATATATAAACAAATATATTCAATATTGTTTTTGTAGCTGTTAGTTTCAAGTGATTTCATATTCGACAAGTTGTGTATGCTACAGAGAGCTGATACCCTGAAAAGAGACCTCTTGGCTGCCACGCTCATTTTAGCTCGTTCATCCATTTTTTCCTCATCCACTGCACAAAAGAGAGGGTTAAGTTACTCAATATGAACTGTTTTTATAGAAATGGCGTGTACAATCATGAATCACAGCTGCTGATATTAGGTACAACAGTTTGTTTGAGATTGCTGAAATATTAACTCACGTTCTCCATGTTGATGCTCTGGACTAACATGGGACCTGAAGACAGAAGTACAGACAGAACAAAAATAACTGACCCTGATGATAATATGATGACTAAAGAAAAGAAACAATAACCACATACTGTAGCCAGAACAAATGCACTTTACAGATACGGACTAAACCTTTCAAAAACACTTTCATAAATTCTGGAAAAGAAAAAAAAAAACTCTAAAAGATTTGAGAATAAAACAGAGACAACAAATAATAAATTTGTGGTTTCAGTGCAACGGATGACTTCCTGTTTCACTGTACCTATCAGACTCCAGCCTTTCGGCTGATGTAATTGGCTGGGTTCTAAACCTCTCAGATGACTTCCTGTCATCACCAGGGGAAATATAACGTCTGGGCCGACGTGCTCCTCTCTCCCGGTCACTGCTGACAACTGGATCAGTCTCCATGGGAACCTGGTCACCTTTAGACTCCCTTTAGACAGAAAAGATAGTGTTAATAAAAGATAACTTTCAGTATTATTTAGGTACAGAGTCTCTAAAGCAAAATTAGCAGGATAAAAACCCCAAGAAAATTGTCATGCCCACACAAACACAAACACTCCATAACAAAGTTAGTTAAGAGTCACAAATCAAAAACCCTAATCCAAATCCCTCATATTTTAGACTACTTAAACTGAGCAATACATCAACAAGTCAATCAAATCAACAAATCACACAATCAATTTTATTTAGTAATGATAATCATCCATTTGTTGAAGACAGAACCAAAATTATTTGCACAAGATCAAGGCAAGGTTAAGATCCAACAGTTGGTAACCCATATAGTTAGAGATTGCAAAATAGATTTAAATTAAGTCATTAGTTGAAGCCAACATTCCTCCATTCAGACTTAGTTGATTGGATGTGCACTCTTAGAAGAAATGGTTCTATTTAGAACCAGAAATGGTTCCATCCCCCGCTTCATATATGGAACTCCAAAATGGTTCTATATAGAACCATTTTTTTTATAAAAGGTTCTATTGGCCAAGTATGGAACCCTAGGGTTCTATATAGAACCCAGAGGAACCCTTTTTTAAGAGTGTATAGAACCTTTTAGGGGTTCCAAATACGTAGCGCTGATAGAACCTTTTAAGGTTCTATATAGAACCTTTTCTTCTAAGAGTGTGTGGTAAAGTTTCAGCAATTACAAATTAAACTTCTGAATGAACAGCAGCATACGGTAGAGTTAACATTGCATTAACAAAGCAGAACTTTACATCCAAAAGAAAGGGTTATTACTTGAAGGTTAGTGGGTTTAATCATCATCTTTGATAAAATCTTGACTTATCATGCTGACAGGCCAGTCCACGTACAGCTCAGGTCTGTGTCCAGAAGCATTCTCCAGGTAGGAATGTCTCAGCTTTGCCACAGAAACTCTTGTGTCCAAGGTGCCCATTTCACCATTGGCCACAGCACCCGGCTCCTTAGTATGAAGCCCAGGACCCATCACTATGGCAGACTCTCGACTGGCAGCACGCTCCAGACTTCTCAATGCAGTAGATCGCTGCATTACTCCAATATCTGACATGGAGCGGATTCGTGCCTTTGGCCTGAGGTCACATGCATCCTGACTCACGCGATGTTGAGCTTGTGGGAGGGAGGAACCTTTCTGCAAGTACCCTCCAACTTCCCCCACCTTATTGTGTTCATTGGTTAGCTTTACCTGTGTGGGAGTGGTTTCCATACCTTCAGATACTTGTGGGTTATACCTCTGTTTTCCTTTCTCACGTCCTTCTGGTTGAGCCATTCGATGCACTCCTTGCGCTTCCCATTCAACCAACTGGCCAATGGTGCGTACCCTACGTCCCTCCCAATCATCTTCGGATTGGCTTATCCTTCTTCGTCTGACTTGGCCTTCCTCGTTCTCTGACAGATTGATCCGTTGTCTTCTACCATGTCCTTCTACCACTTCTTTTTGCAGGAACCGTTGGCCTTTCTGCTCTTCTACCTCCTGTACCAATGGTTCAACGGACTGTTGAGCTTGGCCTTTTCCTTGATCAACTTCCCATTCTCTTTCTTTGAATTTGTTAACCAACCTGACACCTCCTTGCTCTATCCCCTCTAATTGGTTAATACTCCAATTACCTTGACCCTCCTCCTTTTTAATACCACTCCTTTGCTTGTTCTCTTCTCTTTGACCAATCTTCCTTACACTACGTCCCACATCTTCACCTGTCCAACTGTTCTTTGAGCCATTATCTACCTCCCTTTCCTCAGATTGTCTGTTCCTTCGGTCAACAAGCCCTTCTCTGTCATTCACTAGACCCATTTCACCTGTTATTGTGCCCACTTCCATATGAGCCACTCCTCTTCCATCAGGCCCTTCCCTTCCTTCCAACTGGTGCAACTTTCTTCCACCTCTGCCCTCTGTCTCCTCTGACTGGCTAATCGTTCTGATTCTTTGACTTTCTAAAACTTCATCAGTTTGTCCACGTGTGGGATCATCCACACTTTTTTGTCTGCGGCGGATCTCTGAGGGTAGCACAGCCTTTCTGCTCCTAAGTAGCCCTTCTGAAGGTGGAGGTACCCTGGATGCTGATCGACCCTCTCTGTAAACAGGCTGAATGTTATCAGTACTGGGACGCCGTCTTGTCTCTTCACCCTCTTTTCCAGTAGATGTCGAACCAGGCGAAGCCAAGCATTCTTTGTGATCCAACATCTCAGACATGCCAAGTGGAGGTCCAGGCACAGGATGAGCTACACGAGCATTTGAAGGTGGGGATAGATGGGAACTTTGTGATCCATAGGAAGGACCAGAGTGGACAATTTGTCCGTAGGCTGGGGGTAATGCCTGTGCTGTACCATACTGCAAAGGTTGGCTGTGTCCATAATGCCTTTGTAACGGACGCAAATGTGAGGTGTGTTCATATTCATGTAGAGGATTCTGAGTAGTTGCATGCGCTTGAGCTGGTTGGCGAGAGTCCCGATCCAAAGGCACTGGTTGAAGGATAGCCCGATACTTGTGTACAGGTGGTGGGGCATCTCTGCGACCAGGTAATGGCTGCTGGAGGTCTTTGTATGCTGGGCGTGATTGTTGAGCATCTTGACTATCTCGCCTTGGTAGGGATTGCCTGATTTTCCCAAATCCAGGCTGATGACCCATGGTGCTAGGGTGTACACCTGGAATCTGTTCATAGTTTGGGGGCTCTGCACTTTGGGCACGCTGATGAATTCCCATTTCACTTGAAGGTATGTGTTGAAAGGCAGGTGAATCTATACTGTGATTGCGCTGGAATCGTGGCCGCTCTGCACTATGTGCCCTTTGTTGACGGGCCTCTGCTAGCTGACTCTGTTGTATGATTGGGGGTTCAGTGCTCCGTGTTCGAGGCTGGCTAGCAGATTGAGGTCGTGGAGCCAAATATTGAGGGGCAACTGTTGGATGATGTCTGACAGAGGATGCATCTGGCCCAGAATCAGAAACCCTTCCTGAGATATCCTCCCTTGTCTGTCTCTCTCTTACTCGTATTCTTCATGAAGGGAGGAAAGAGAGGAATTAACATTCACCCAGTTCAAAGCATGGCCTATTATTATTTTGAGTAGCGATGCACAATATTTTGTCGATATGCCGATATATAACTCATTTTTGGTGGATCGCTGATGCTGATATTTTTTCCCTTTGTTTGGAAACAACACAAAGTCTTTCCTGTGCACTTTTTCTAAGAACTAAAACATTATTAAAGTATCCTTTTTAATGAGAAAACATTGAAAGCTTTGACAAAGCTTTGAACTAACAATAATAAAATAAATCACTGCTGTTTTATATGGAGTTGAAACCTTAACATTTTATTTGTGGATGTAACATTTGTAGATCCTCTACAGCAAAATAAAAATTTTTTAGGCCCCCCGATAGATTACATCTGATATTAAGATGCATTGGTCGCATCACAGGTGGATGAATAGCCATGAATAGCCCCTTCTATAAATAGCCAGAAATGCATTTGACCGGATTGCTTTCCTAGTGTAAACGCTCATGTGAAATCAACTTTTGTTTTAAAGTTTGGTTTAAAGACGAAAAACCTACCAAGCTAAATGTTCTCTTGCCATTCCTGATTTCTAACACACACTTGTACCGTTCAGCACAGTCTTGTGGCTGTCAGAGCAGAAACAAACCCTGCTGCTTTCCGTAATAAATCTTTTTCCTAAATCTCCGGGCGTGTTTATATGTAAACGGGTATGTGTCTCCCTTATCCACCTCGATCCGATCGACCTTAATCTTAATACCAGATGTAAACAGGGCCATAGATCTTATTGGAATCAATAATGTATAATTCTTTCAAATGGATTATAAAAATAACTTGAATTAAACTGTATATATAAAATTATTTAATTTACATGCGTCATGTTCGTGATTTTTATTCATCATCTTATCTATATATTCTGACCTACAGTATAAATCAAACCACAACTGTTGCTTTATTTATTAAGAAACAAGTATCTTAATCTAAATCACCATTCAGGCAAAAGTTGCTTAAAAAATGACCACAGAGCAGATGTGATCATATTGCTAGCACATGTGAGTTACTGATGCATAATCAACATATCTTATTATCGGCAAGGCATATCGGAATCATTTTAAATCAGGCCGATGTTTACATTTTACACCTTTATTTGCCGATAATATTGTGCATCCCTAATTTTGAGAGAAAGTATCATCAAGTAACCAATTGTCAAACAAACTTAAAATAGTTTGTTTCAATGAATTCTGCAGCTAGCTTTTTCCTGAAATCAATGCTTACCACACGGGGAACAAAAAAAACCCCAACATATTTAAAATTAAAATCCAATCCAGTCATTTATTACCCTTTTGATAGACTAATATGAAATAATTAACAAGCTATCGTGTCCTGGTAACCATTTATAGTTACCATTTATTGATAACCTCTCATCCAGCAGTGACTCACTGACACAAAAAAACCTTCACCTGTAATAGTTTTATGACAGGGACAAATTAAAAAGGACTGAAGCCAAGGTTCATTGTTAGGAGTTGGTCATATTTTGGTGAGGAACAAAGGTCAGTGGGAAAAAAACGCAGTGGATGCAGGGGGAGATTAAAAAGGGAACGGTTTGCCATCATCTATGGTGACTGTAGATGAAAGGGTCAAGGGGATGAAAACTAAGGTGTGGAAATGTATACTTGTGAGCATGGACTTTGTAGGATAAGGACAAATGTTGGAAAATGGAGTTAGCGGGTCAACTGGGGGAATTTAAAGGGTTACACTTCCACTCTAATACCTGGATGGCCAGTTGATTTGTGACATGGATTCACTGTCCATGTCTCTCCAGAGGGACGACTCGCTCTGAGAAAGAGCTGCCAAGCTAAAGAACACAGAGCCCCAGAATGATCCCAGTTATCACAGTAACAACACCATGACATTTACCACTATAACAAAACACACTCGTGACTTCACCAATCCTAAATGAGTTTCTAATAGGGGACTATTGTAATGTCGTAAATAAAACATCTCTGTCCAAAATCCCTGATTGTTTCCTTTCTATCTGGTTGTAGTTATCTTGCCTGACTTTAGTTCTAAGATTCTTCAATTAGTCTCTGACATTATTACTGCCTTAGGGACATTTAAGATGATCTCCTCCTGGACATTTTTCTCCTCAAGGGTTGTTTGTAGGGATGAACGATATATCGGCCAGCATATCGGTATCGGCTGATATATGTTCATTTTTAATGTTATCGTTATCGGCCTGGTAAGAAAATGTGGCCGATATATTAAAACCGATAAATAATGCATTATTCCCTTCAGCTGAGACACTTGTTGAGAACTGTTTGTTTTTGAATTTCTTGAAATATGATCGAAATTTCGAAATTCAAAAAATGAAAATCTGGTTCGGGACAACATGTGCAACGCAAATCTGTCATATCGGCTATACAACACTATAATGAGAACATCATTACAATTGTGCACTTGCCATGGGACGTCGATTTAATTGTCAGACTTTTGTTTTTGTAATCAGGCTCCCAAAATTAGATAAAAATTTGGATTTAAGTTTATCGGTCGATATATCGGTTATCGGCTTTCAAATATAAAGAATTATCGGTATCGGCCAAATTTTCATATCGGTGCATCCCTAGTTGTTTGGATTGTCAAGAGTTATGTAACACTCGAGTAAAACACAAGTTACCCGTACTTGGACATAAAAGATAGTTTATCTGTTTACAAATTATTGTAGGGGTCTCTTATGGAAACAATCACTACGAAATAATGAGGGTTACACTAGGTGACTTGTAAAGTCACCTAGTATTATTTTAAATAAAATTAAATGTTTTTCTCTTCTGATGCCGAAATAAACTTAATAAATGTATTAAATCAACCAATTACTGTCATACTAAGTTATTTCAATCTCTTGTCCAAGACTATGGAGAGACTAAGCATTGAAACTAGGTGTAACTTCGGCAGAGCTTCAAAGTGAAATTCTTGCTGATGTCCAGTGAACAGTTCTACATGCAGGTATTTCACCCCAGCTCTCTGGCATGACTGTGAACCTGACTAAACATAAAACCTGGTGCATTCAGCATTTTTACAAGGAGAATGTAAGAGCTTTAGCATTATCGGAGTGAGGCAAAAAAACCCAAAGCATTAGTCCTTGTCGAAGTCCGCTATATTATCGGTATAGATAGATGATGGCAATTGTTAACCCTGTTGCATTTACTTGCTTTATAGGATGATTTCTAAAAATGAAGCAAGCTGGGATCTCAAAGTCCCTTAATTTATCCATAATTTATGTACCCATTATTTAACACATTTGGATTCTGATAAAACCTCATTCCAAACTAGTCCAAATTTATTTATTTTATGGGACCCTATCTTAAAAACCAAATTGGCAGTTTTGTACCATTAGTCCATGGTCTTAACTTTGAGGCCATAATGGTGATGGCGCAGTGGATAAGACACATGCCTTTGGTGTGAGCGACACAGGTTTGAATCCACTGTGAGACACCAATGTGTCCCTGAGCAAGACACTTAACCGCGTGCGACCTCTGACATATATAGCAATTGGAAGTCATTTTGGATAAAAGCGTCAGCTAAATGAATAAATGTAGATATGGTAGCATTCATTCAAGCTAAATGTCCAGCTCGAACTTCTTGTTTCAATAGGAAGTATGCCATTGCCAACACAGGAAGATAATACCACGTCAATGAAAATCAGGGTCCTCAAAGACTTTCTAAGATCCAGAAAGAGTTCAAACATACTTACCCCTGTCTGTTGAGGATATTTTGAGCTTGCTGCTCAATGAACAGGTCTCCAGGAGAGATGCCATATCGTGTTGTGGGCAACGAAGCTCTGCGTGATGTTCTAGGTGAAACTGGCACGGTGACAACAGCAACACCCTTTGTTGGTTGGGCAGCTGTTGTTTCCATGGGAACCGGAGCTTCCTGTGGCCGTGGTTTCGGACTTCGATCAGGTGTTCGTCTATAATTTTCCAAGTTCATTGCCCTCTCTCTCTCTCGCTCGGCATCAAAGCCTGATGGAGGAGCAGGATCGGGGGCGGGGTCAGAAGGCATGAAGACCCGCCCTATCCCTGAACTGCTGTATTTAGACCTGCTGCTGCTTCGATCCCGCCCCTTATCCTGCTCTTGCAATGCCCCGCCCCCGGTTCTGCTTTCACCACGTCCCCTGTCAGGAGGAGCCCCTCTGTCCGACAAATCAGACTCTCTCCGTGCACGAGTGTAGCGCGGCGTGTAATCCAGATCCACCTCCTGGTCGAGGAGGATTCCGTAACGTTCTGATAATTGTCGTCGGCGTTCAGCTTTGTAGCGCGCGATCCGCTCCGCTTTAGAGGCCGCGTCAGACCCTGCTGGGGTAAGGTCTATCGGGTCAGGATTGGCGGACGACTGTGGATCTGGACGTGTCCGACCTCTGGATTGCCGCTCGGGAGCTTCCATCTCATCATGACTGTAGCGCCGCACTGTAGAGGCAAACAGAGAGTGAGAGGACATCACAGCACACAATTCATTTTATTTAAAAAAAAATATTTACTTCAGAAGAATGTGTGATCAATGCCAGGGCACTGATATAGTATTATGAGCGTTTTTTTTGTTTTTTTCAGAGTGGTGGTGTGTGGTATCTACACTCTTACAAAAAAGGGTTCATTTGGGTTCTATATATGTAGCATAGGGTTCTTTACTAAACTCCAAAGAACATTTAATGCTAAAAAAAGGTTCTATAATGACAAGAAAGAACCATTTTGGCACTTTATAAGGTTATTTATAGGATATTATTCATTAATATATTACATTATTCTGCAACATTTTGTAGTTTATTAAACTGTTGTAGTAACTTAATATCACATTTTAATCATGCTGATTTTTGGAGGAGAAAAACTTAAATGGCACTCTTTATGTGATATTGAACTACATTAAATTATATAAATACATACATTTTTTAACCCCCATATCTTGAATTTTGTGATCATTCACATGCATTCATAAATACATTTTAGGGTGTTGATGTTTGTCAATAATAATATGAAATATTTAATCCGGAAGGGACAAAACAAATGATAATGAATAGGGTTGGGTATCATTTGAATTTGAACGATTCTGATTCCAATTCCGATTCCTTGTTTCGATTCCGGTTCCTAAAGATTCTCGATTCTGATTCTTTTAAGAGGCAGGGTCAAAAAAGTTTAGCTAACCTTGCTAACCAACGGTCTTTCTGAAGGAAATACTACTTTCTGAAGGAAATACTCCTTCTGTCACAAATACTCCTTTTGTCACAAATTTTGCATTTTGCCGAGATTTCGTTATTTTTAGAAAAGTGAAACCACACTTTGGACCGCCGACGTATGCTACTCATGTTCGACTCGCGTGGTTTTTCCAACACTTCCGGTAGACGCTTCTTCGTTGGTGTTGTTCAGCAGTTTCTTCTTCCGGTCGGCGTACTGTGAATATCGAAACTAGGAATCGAAATTTTAACTTTTGAACGATTCCGGGAAAAACGAAAAGTTAGTCCCGGTTCCAATCGATACTCGATTCTCGATACCCAACCCTAATAATGAATGAACCCAAAAGGCTCCATATAGAACCTTTTCCTGGTTACAAAGAATCCTTTAAATAGGGTTCTGTATAGAACCTTTTAGGGGTTCCAAATACGTAGCGCTGATAGAACCTTTTCTTCTAAGAGTTTACTGAGCTTACAGGTCCAAAATTCTACGATACTGTGGTCACTAACTGTTACATTGTCCGCCAGGTTTCAGGTTGCCAATAAAAGTTAAAGCACACCTCTTCTTCTATGCACCAAAGTTTAAAGGGGTTTTTCAAAATAACAGAACACATAGCAGTTAGTGTCTCTATCTGCTTACAGAAATAAATAAATTGTGGTGTCTTACCCACAATGCCTGGATCACTGGGATCTGAAGCACGCGTGTAGCGTGGTGTGTCCTCCTCCAGTAGCCGATTAGTCACAAGGCCGGCTGTGTGTTGGATGCTTGTAGCAGGAGTAGATGGAACATCAGATTCAATCGCCTCCAACCTTCTTGCTATCCTTTCTTTCCTGCGTGATTTATGTAGTGTTCGAGTTAACACAACATTCTGGAAAACTGAGAGGCTAAGACTGACAGTGCTTTCCATAAAGTAATGATGCAACATTTACTTCATTTTTTTAAATTTTATTTGTAATGGTAACATTCCTTAAAACAGACTACCGGTATATGAGTTTTCAAAAGTATTCAGTCATTGTACATCTATGCATTTGGCAGATGCTTTTATGCAAAGCAACTTCCATTGGATTCAAGGTATACATTTTATCAGTTCATGCATTCAATGGGAATCGAATCCATGACCTTCGCATTGCTAACACCATACTCAACTGTTTGAGCTATAGATAAGACATTTTAAATAATACATGCACCAAATGTACCTGTTCATTTCTGGATGACTTCTGATCGTGGTTTCAAATTGCTTCCTTAGCTCTGAAACTAAAAAGGATTTTAGTAAATATCTAAAAATTCACCATTTCCATCCTTTACCGTATCTTAGTATTTCTTACCTTTGGGCAGCACAGCAAGAATGTTTGCATCAATATCTGTAGTATTCCTAACCAGTGATGTTCTGTCATCCACACCAAAGCTGTAAGGCAAAAACAGAGAGTGCATCCTTCAAAACAATCCTATTGCAATCAATACTGCTTTAGTAAATGTCACGTTTGCGTCATATAGATACAGATACAGTAGATTTGATGCATTTCATTTAATTTTTGGTCTTTCTGACCCTTTTTTAAAGGGGACTTGCCATACAGTAAGAGTAACTACAACCCTAAAATCCAATTCTTTGATAGGAATGTTGTTCTAGGATCCACAAGGATGTAACATTGAGCACACTATCTGCTTGGCCATGATGACCCAAATTATATATTAGATCTTTGTTGATTTTTCTAGAGCCTGACCGATAAAAGATTTTGAAGGCCGATACCGATACAAATATTTTGGGGTTTTAAAATCCGATATATCGGCCGATATTTTATTTATTTATTTAAAACTGGACATGATAGTCACAAATTTTGTCAAGCTTATTTGAGTTAAGAGAACTGATGGGGATGTTCTTTTAATTGTTATTCAAGCAACGTATGTGTCGTGACCAAATCTACGAGTGTTGCCAACAGGAACGGTGTAGAGTGCCCTCTGGTGGACAAACTATACAACTCCAACACTCATGACATGGTTCAAGCGTGTTTCGTCCGTTTTTATTTTATTTTTGAAATATTCAGTTATCGGCCATTATAACTGCCGATACCGCTGGTTTGGAAAATGCCTAATATCGGCCGATAATATCGATCTGCCGATATATCGGTCTGGCTCTAGATTTTTCCAACATCTAATCTCTGCACACTTTAGGAAAAAAAAGCAGATTTGGAAATTAGTGTCTCCAAATTTCTACATAGGCAGGTCATGATCATGTGGCCAAATCTACCAATGTGTTCCGTGTGACATTTTAAGCTGAATTAGCATAGAGGATCTTGAACGTTTACTTGCATCTGACCACAGGAATAGATTAGCTGCTGAGGTATTTATACATTTAGAGTTCCCCTTCACCATGGTACCAGTCCCTTCATCCCAAACAGCACACTCCAATTACTCCCGTTTACAGCACACCATTCGCCATGCACAACAATCTCATAAGCAGGACCGCAGAACACCAATTAGAGCTGGAACAGGTTTCGATTGCATTCGTGGAAACTTTTCCAGACACACCCGATATGGATACATGGATAAATAACTGACTCGGCATTGAATTATTGAAAAATTATATTCAGTAATGGCCATAATACCCTTGATACACATTACATTTTCAATAACTTATAATAATAGTAAACAAGCCAGGTCAATTTTTCCACTTAAACCATAGTATATATGGTTTCCCCACACCACTAAGTATCTTGCATAGTAACAAGCTGTAGTTAACTAGTTTAAAAGTGATGGAAAGAGAACGTGGTGAAATGATAATGTGGTTAACATCATCACTCCAGTTCAATTATAGGAAATTAAATCAATTACCTACTTCGTAACATAACAACCAATCAGAATCAAGCATTGTGATAGTGCTTAGTTTCATTTTAAATTTAAATGATCAAAATTCTTACCGATACCATAAATAAACACAAAAATCTGGCTCGATTTCTGGCCTGTGATTTCTGTTAATACAGGACTATATTTACCATTTTCATACTATGAAACACAATAACTAAGATAAATGGCAGAACACACACTTTCTGAGTCTGTTTATGTTCATGATCTATATTGTGTTATCGTGGGGACTCCTTTAGAACTGATGTTTTGATTTATGCTGGACACATTAAAGGCATGTCAAGAGCATAAATCTTCTCTTTTAACAGCTTAACCAATGGAAACAACAAAAGATAACATGCACACATCATGCACACTCTGGGTCTGTGATGATAACAGCAGACTATGCCTCTTCTTTTCCTAAGAAAGAGACTTTTCTATCAAAGAATCGATATATTGTGCAGTATTGTGACCACAGTAACCAAAACATCTACCCTTTCCATTGATCTCAAGATATTTAACACAACACAATCGGTGTCCTGAGGTCCAGAGTGCAACAGCTTCATTTCAAACAATCTCTTTTACAAAGGAAAGATAGATATGCTGTTCAGACACAGCAGCAGCAAAGATTTGATTTATTTCAACTCAATAAAGGTGGGATATGTAGCCTATATAGTTAAAGAAATCCTGCAGCTCTCTATACTGCTCCAAAACCCAGTTTGTTCCTATTTATCTAGCATTAGCATGTTGCTAAGCTAATGAAGAGATGAGGTCTATTCTAAGCCCCAAAACACATACTGTATCACACACAAACACAGAGTGAAGCAGTCCATTTTATTTAGATTTATTAGATCAGTTTTTTAGCAGTGCAACGTTTGTGAAAGTTTCTAAAGCGAAACGTTTGACTTCTAAGTACACACATCTATTTTTGTTTATTTTCATTTATGAATTTAGCAGGTTTGTCCACCATCTTAGATATAAGTTGTTGCAGTGCATGCTGGGATTGCCTTATAAATGTTGTGTAGGCAGGCAACTCACTATGGTTTGGAACTGAGCTACTTTAAGGAGTCAGTTTGGGCAGAAAATCTCTAATCTCTCTCATCAACCCATTTAGAGTTAAGCATTAAAGAACATAAAAGGATTAATTCAGGATTTAATTCGGCTATACGCTTATGGGAACAGTTTAAATGTATAAATGGTCTTTATTAAGGCAAGATGCATGTATGCTAACCTTATTGCTCTTTTCTTTAGTAGTGTAGGGCTGCAGAGCTTAGAAGAAGCTTCACCGACAAAGCCTGCAAAAAGAAACAAGACAATCTCTTAAAAGCATGTTTAGAAATAATACGCTTCATACAAACCAGCTTTACAGTGATATGTAAACAATGTTTACAATAGGCTGTGTCGGAGATTCTGTAAGTGTTAGCTGACTTTACAAGAAAATTCACAACATCCATCCAAGAAACAACTCGTATTACATAAATAAAATGAAACATTTGTGCACAAACAAACTAAATTTACCAGCTGAACTTGAATAGTTGTGTACTTACATGTACTTTTATGTTGATTACAGTGAAGTTTTCATTAGAATCGGGGGAAGACACAAATTTATCTTGGACAAACACATTTTAATGGCATATTTATCCTGAGTGTCTCCACCTGGTGTCAACCACACCGATATTAATAACCTTCCATCTTAACATCATGTTTTAGCCATTTAAAGGGACAGTTCACCCAGAAACGAAAATTGTTTCATCACTTACCCTCAAGTTGTTTGAGTTTCTTTCTTCTGTTGAACACAAATATATATATATATTTCAACTGAAAAAAGAAACTTTATGACGATTTATAATGACGCTTTCATTTTAGGGCGAACTATCCCTTTAAACCCATCGTATTTTTTTTTTACCCCGTTGTACAGTCAACAGCTTGAGTTACTGTGTTTAACATTCTCCAGTGTCGACTGATAAATTTACCCCCTCCAAATGGAGAACCTGGGTTGAGGGAGGGTTCGCTCCAAGAACAAGCTGAGAAGAACAAAGTAAAACGTGGGTGTGAAGACATCCTAATTAGCTTAAATGAAGTCTAGTGGACGAGTTTCCGTCCCAGGGTTGCCAAAGAATCACTTCAGGATGCTGACAGCCACAAATTAGTCGAGTGCGATGAGAAGAACAAGGCATTGTCTAAAAATACTAGAAGGGTTCATCCTCCTTCTTAAAACACATGTAGTTCACAGCACAGAAAGACAGACGTCTAGTAAACCACTTTTACACAAGGTTTGTGTGAAGGATTTTATGATCTAATGGGTGGACAGCACAACGGTAATCATCACGTCCTATCATTAGCACATTTTAACACAGTGTTGACACACAGTCTGGGTACCGGTAATTTTTTTTTTATGATCAACAACACATTACGTTCAGGTTCATCCACAGTGTGACAGCTGTAGCCACTACAGAGATGCGACTCTGAAACAATTTCAGTCGAAACACACAGATTTGGCGGACTGAGACATGCAGGCTAATAACTGCTCCATTTCAACAAGACCTGATTTTTCCAATGGTGAGCTGACGAGCAAGGTGTCAATAGTTTGTATGCTCAACACAACAGAGCTGCATTTATTTGATCAAAAATACAGTAAAATATATAAGCAATAATATTGTAAAATATGAAATTTGGGATAAACCTTTCTAATTTTTATACATTTTTTAAATAAATCTATTTTAAAGTCACTTATTTGCCAATAGGCATTACTCCAGTCTTCATTGTCACTTGATCCTTCAGAAATCCTTCTGATTTGCTGCTCAAGAAACATTTCTTATTATTATTGTCAGTGCTGAGAAAAGTCGAGCTGCTTAATATTTTTGTGGAAACTGTGAAACATGTTTCTATTCATCAGTGATGAATAGAAAGTTCAAAAGAACAGACATAGAAATTAATAATGCTACATTGGTTTATATAATACAATTTTTCACAACATTTGAAATTCACAGAGAAAAGGAAATGTTTGTTTATAGTTTAACACCGTGCAAGCTACCCCATATATTCAGAAAGAAATAGATTAAAATAAATGTTAAAATTTTATCTTGGATAAACAGTCTACAACTAGATCTTATAAATAAAAAATATAGAAAATGTGCTCACAGAAGACTTCTTTTTATCAGCTGAGGCCAATAACCTCAAAAAGGCCAAACATTGGCTGAATAAATCAGCCTAGCGATTATACATAAGTCTACTCTATCCAGAATCATTTACTTTAGAGGTTGGTTGTTTTACCAGCACATGGATAAAATTATATGTGGCGCCATAAGGGAGCTTGCTAATGATCTTGTTTCCTTTGATTAGCAAGTAATAAAAAGGCAAACTCTATCAATTGCACAGACAAGTGTTTAATATTGATTTTAAAAAAATAGTTAATGTCGATTCTGTTCTCTGGAGAGCAGACTGACTAATGGCCAATACAATATTTATTATATAAAAAAATGATGGCAAATTCATAGTATAGAAAATTAGTGTTGCTGAATTTAACTGAATACTTATTTATTTTACACAATATGTACTCAATTTCCACACAAAAAAAAGCATAATTTATTTGAAATTATTCTACACTGACTCCAGGCAGAATGACCACTTTGATTCATTTGGCAACAGTCATCAGATGATGCAGACTATCTCCAAATCAGTTCAAGGAAACCTTTAGCACACCACAAGTATTCAGACTTCATCTGATCACTAAATCAATCTTCATGCTCAACAGAACAATAGTAAAGCAATAGTCATACTTCTGTTTTGTACAACTATTACAATGAATTATGTTTTCCAGGATCACACACTGCCAAATTAATTAAAACAAAGCCAACCATTCTTAAATCAGACAACTGTGCCATCCTTTCTGTAACAGTAACTGTTCAAATCAATGACCCGGTAACGATTTTCACTCAAATCCCCATAAATCAGCCTCACTGCTTGGTAACAGTAACCGGGCACAGACAGTTCCACACTTACCTTGACTACACTGTGTGACATGGTTGAGATAGTTCGTAATCCACTGGTTTTGAAACATGTTGGAATGAAAAGGAAAGAAGAAAACAGAGGAAAGAGAGGAAAGGGACAGACAGACCTAATCACAGGCTCAGACAGACGAAGAAAGAGAGCAATCGCCACGGATGGACTCAACGTGATGGAAATGCACACAGGCAAAACTGCAGGGCTAAAGCAAACACATGGGAGGGTGGTGTAGAGAGAGAGAGAGAGAGAGGTAGAGAGAGAGGTGCTAGGCAGCTCACAGGCAGTAATCTGATTACAGGCAGAAATTAGCCTGGATGATAAAAGTGGATTGTGGGAGCACGGTAGGTTCCTGGACTTATGACATGATCACTGCTACATTTACACACACTCACACATGCGTCAGCAATCCAAGAGTCACAAATACTCGGTGATGCAAAGACGAAAGTCTTTAATTAGTCTGACCTGTTCTTAACATCTTTCAGTCAGAAAAACAAGGCAAACAAATGTGAAGCTTTATTAAAATCAATTCTATATTATTATAATGCACACACTAAAGACTGCTAACAAGATAAAGCTATCTTCTAGGTCTGTCAAACAATTAATCGCATCCAAAATAAAAGTTTGTGTTTACATAATATTTGTGGGTGCACTGTGTATAATTATTTTATATATATATATATATATATATATATATATATATATATATAAATACACACACATGCGTGTATATATTTAAGAAATTATTTTCATGTATATAGATTTATATATAATTTATATTGTATATAAATATAAATATTTTATATATAAATAATATATTTTTCTTAAATATACAAGCATGTGTGTGTATTTACATATATACAAAATAATTATACACAGTGCACCCACATATATTATGTAAACACAAACTTTTATTTTGGATGCGATTAATCGCGATTAATCGTTTGACAGGCCTACTATCTTCCATGCTATTTTAAGCTTTTATGCTAATTGCTACGAATTTTACTTCTGTAGTCAATTTTATCCCTTAAAACTCATCTTTGATCACCGAAATGACATATTTAAGAAAAATTTCGGAGAAAAAAAAAATATATATTCATGCCTTAAAATAGCTTGAATGTTACTCACACCCTTGCTTCATTTAGTATACGAGTATATTAGCTCTATGAATATGCAAATTGGCCCCATCTCCACTCATTCACACCAGCTCAGAATACCTGATTCATTCACCCAGAATACCTGATCCACTCGGCCAACTTAATAGTTAATATGACACATAACGGTAATAAATATTAGCCTTTGGCTTTACTATATTATCAAACCGCTAATAGTGTTGCTAACGTTACACAAACCATGTTCCCATTCCCAATCTCAGAGTCAGAGAGCTGCCTTCTAAAATTCAGCATCCTTAGAAACACTTTGAACAACTTAGAACGTCAGTGGAGCATATAGTTCACATCATAATACATTATATACATAATTCACCTGCTATATTGCTAAATGTACCCATAACTTTTTTTGAGTTCAAAATTGACAAAAAAATAAATGAGCGAGTACATTTTCCAAACCATTTTTTTTGTCTTATCCTGAATCACTATAGTACACCTATAATACGTGTTTATATTCAGACAATTTTAGACCAATCGGGTCGTACCAATGTGGAGTAGCATCTCATCTGTGACTGACTATACATAATAAACAAAGAGAAGTAGCTTCGACTATAATGTTATTTTGCAAGACGCATGCAGTTCTGTTTATTAACCGCTAAAACCCCAAAAGTTATGAACTGCATCTTTAATATTATTGACAAACTACTGTATATTATGATTATTCTTGGAAATTGTTAAACAGGAGTCGCTAAACAGGTTTGGCAACATTACTGCCAGTGTTCTTATTTATAAATGAAACTACAACTAATTAAAAAAACATTTTAGCAGTTAAAATAAAGCTTAAAATTAAATATAAATATTAGAAGAAAATTTCAATATAAATATTAGAAGAAAAACGTACATTTAAAACACGACAATAACTTCGTTGACTACACTTGTCAATCAAACTGCCTCAAAACTCTCACTGATAAGAACTGTTGATTGCTTTGTTGCAGCAAATCACTGTTAGCATGAGACTAAGAGAGTGTGACAGAATAAGCCCACACAGGGATATGCCAACACAACCTAATAAAACAACTACAACTTTGGTGTGAACGTATCATAAGTTGACTTTGTCATAGTGTGCACTAGAGGGAGCACCAAGAGCCAAAGGTCCTGTGAGGTTCAGGAAACCAGTGTTTCTCAACTCCTAGGGATCCATGCACCAACCAGAATGTTTTATATTTCTCACTAATCAGCTTCCTAGTATGTATTGAGACAGCTAAAACATTCTGAGACTAAAAACACTGCACTAAACAATGTGTAAAACTCAGTCATGACATGAGAAGGGGTATAAGTACTGTTATACAGATGAAATACAGCTGCTTTTACTGGTATTTCTATTGTACGCCACAGTACTATTGACATTATGTAAAACGAGACGGCACACAATGTGTTTTTATCAAACTTGACAATGTTTGAGTCCTTATTTAGAGTGCTTTAATACATGGGATTGATGGTAATCATGCAGTTCATAATGCTATCCGATTACACTTCAAACAACTACAACTATGGGTTTTTCATGATTAACCCAAGTATAAAGATTTAGAATTTTGAGATCTAAAATATCATAAAAAAAATTAAGAAAACCCAGTCCATAATAGCCAGAGCGTCATAATACTGCAAACATGTCCATCTCTTGTCATCTTACTGGACCACTCAAGTACTGCTGCCCTTAATAAGGCAATGTGTGACGTGATTGGCTGAGAGACCTCAAGGAGGAGTGGCTAACTTATGTTTATCCGGCTCTGGTGTGCATGTGCTCTTCACCACACACATCTATCATATTCCTTTCACTCCTGGAAGTCATACCTCTACTTTTCCTTCTCCCTTGGCCAATTCTAGGATACAAATAAATAAACCTTTACAATAAACACAATGTATACAATATTTACCTGCGCTGACTGCAGAATTAGAGAGTACATTTGAGACCTAAAAACACAAACACAAATAACTAGACTCGATGCTTCCAGTGAGCCAAGGAGTTATGACTGAGTCTATTCTGGTCATTTAGAGAGTGGGTTGTGTAATAGGTCAATAAAGTAGTATATCTTGACAAAACTTATAATGTGAGATGACGAAACAATAAAAGTAATTTAATACTGTAATGTGCATATCTGATATTGTTGAGTGTAATAGTAGGACAAAAGTGTCATTCATTTTCTGTATAGATTAACAATAATGCACAAGTCAGTCCATACTCTCAATCAAACTACGAATGTGTTTCACTTCCATTCAAAAGTATGGGGTCAGTTTGTATTTTTAGAAATTAATACTTTTATTCAGCAAGGGTGCATTAAATCAATCAAAAACAATATTTAAAAAAATGTATAATGCTACCAAAGATTTCTATTTAAAATAAATGATGTTATTTCTATTCAAAGAATCCTAAAAAAAAAGTTTTCATATAAATATTAAGCTGCACAACTGTTTTCAACATTGATAAGAAATGTGTCTTGAGCAGCAAATCAGCATTTTAGAATGATCTCTGAAGTATCATGTGACTGAAGACTGGAGTAATAATGCTGACAATCCGTGTTGCATAACAGAAATTGCTTTAAAAATATTACAGAAAACCCTGATTTTAAACTATTTCACATAATTACTGCTTTTCTGTATTTCAATCACTGAATCAAGAGATTCAATATAAATCAAACAATAAATTATATCAACAGATTCATATTGAACTGCATTTTAGGCATTACAATACATCTAATTTAGTATCACTGTAAAAAAAAAAAAAAAGTTAAATCAACTTAAATTTTTTAGTTAGCTTTTTGCTTTGACTTTATTTAGTTTTATTTACTTTATTGAGTTTTATTTACTTAATCTTATAAGTCATAAAAAGTTAAGTTGACATAGTTGACCTAACAACTTATTTCAAGTAACAGACTTGAAAAGTTTAGTTGAAAGACAATAACTTACATTTTCAAGTTATCTTTACTAAAACGTATGTTCATTAAACTTAATTTGGCATTTTTTCTCTATGTGATATGATCTCACGATAAATAATGAGACTAACGTTACTGGTTCAGCATATGTTTAAGTTGAGGTGACACATACTCCAGTTAAGTCAACATACATATACTAGTTAAACTTAACATGGTAAGTTGAATTAAAGGTGCCATCTGTAAAAATTGAGGTTAAAATATCCCAAAAATGAGCAACACGCATCAAAAGATTGAGAAGAAATAAGGTTGATGATGTCATTAAAAAACTGACAAGTAATAGTGCTGCCGAGATATTAACCTGAATTAGCATGCTAAATTACTAGCCCCGGCCCGGCAGGTGTCGTAATACCAGTTTCGACCATGGGAGGCGGTATGCGGGCGGGCAACGTTACCACCAGCCAAACTGCAGTACACGAGTAAGTCGCGCTCGCGCCAGCTTGTGTGTACTTGAACCTGACGTCAGTCGTGTGGAAAATACAGCCCACTACTACATTTCAGTTCAGGGAAGAGTTAAAAAAAATGATTGGTCGATATTATGCATGAGGAATACATTTTGGTAAGTTGTAGCATACTGTATCTTTCAACAGTGTTCGTGTTCTTTTACCATTAGCTAGTAGAGATGATCGGTTCACGTGTGCTAGGGATCTGTCGTGTAAAGCGCCAATACTGTATTTATTGTTTGAATTGCGTAATAAAATGAACAGAATCTGAGAGCTGACATCGGTCTCAGTGTCCTTTTCTGTGCATGACAAAAATGTGTGGCGTGAAAGTGTGTGAAAAGTGTTGTGAGAGTTGGCAGCTCTGAAAGACGCTAGCTTGGTCCACATCAGGGAATTGCTGTCTGTCAAATTAATTCAAACTAATGATAAAAATGTAATATGAACAAATCGAATATCATAAAACTAGAAATAATAGCCTGGGCTTTAATTTTCCCATATCGTCGAAATGCACCGACTTGTCTATGAGACGGCCCTTATAATTTAGTAT